GGGGCTTGTTTCAAGCTTCTCCCCAATGCCTTCTAGCCAGGAATGAACCAAAGGCAGGGGCATTAGCCACCCAGGGCTCAGCCTGAGAACCACCTCAAATTGAAAGTAACAATAGCAATACCCTTGAGCATGTGCAAAGTGCTTTCCTTGCAACCCTAAACAGATCCAATACATCGAAGGTAACAGGCAGGCCTCCCTGGCCCACTGGGATCGAGCCCCCAAACCTCTCACGTCAGGAGTGAGTTGCTGCCGTAACGCAGCTGCATTAGCCCAGTCCCACGCTACCTCTCCCAGCTGCTAAGAAATAGGATCACAAAACTATTTATAACAACAAAGAGTTCTGCGGCGCCTTAAAGACTTAGCAAATTTATTATGGCATAAGCTTCCGTGGACTAGAATCCACTTCATCATCAGGTGCACAAACAAGTTTGTGCCATAATAAAATGCGTTAGTCCAGTTAAGGCGCCCCAAGACTCTGTGTTGTTGTTTTTTGCTGCAACAGACAAAATTATGGCTGCGTTTCTGGAACCTATTTATAATTCTCCTTACTGATTCCCCTGGGGTATTAGCAAATACAAAGGAAGGCTTCCTTGGCTGAGCCCTGTGTCATCTTCTTGGCAAGGGCAAGTTGTTGCAGAAAGTCTCTCCCCACCAGATAGAAATTCTTCCCCCCCTCCAGTGCTCAGTGGTGGAGCACACAGGTTCCAGCAGATCCCAGTTTCAATCCCTGCTGTTTCCATTGGGTTTGGGCTTTTTAAAGGCTCAGGTAGCAAGCAGTGCAGGTAGAATGTGAGAGATCTCTGCTGGAGACCCAAAAGACACTGCTGGCCATCAGAGAAGTTAACCTGTTGAGGGATAAGGTTCTCAGTGACTTCTAGCTGCAATGTCTTGGCTCTGCCTCCACTGCCATGAGTCAGCAACAGTGGCCACAGTGAGAACAGGATGGTGGACTCGATGGGCCAAACATCTGCAGGCCACATGTCCCCCCATCCCAGGGTTAGGGTGTCAGATGAGAACCCAGGAAAGCCAGTTCCAGATTCCCTTCTCAGCTGTGAAGCCAGCTGAGTGACTTTGAAATGTCCACTGTCTCTCAGCCCCTAATTCGTAGGGGATAAAATAGGTGGGGAGGAAAGAGTCAAATGTGTCCCTCGTGAGTTTCCTGGAGGACAGAGAAATAAAATAATGGGTGCAGTAGTGAAAGGTGAATAACTGGAGAAAGTTGGGGCGGGAGGCTGACATATATAGGCTTGAAAATGGAGTACCATCCATACTCCAGGGCACACAGGGCTGCTAGTCTTACTTAGAGTAGACCCATCAAAACAAATGAGCATGACTAAGTTGGGTCTATTAGTTGTCATGCACCCACTCTGAGTAGAACATAGCTGAATACAGCCCAAAGTTCACCCCCACCGCCCTTGTTATCTTCAGAGCCAGTGGTGGAGTTGGGTAATTTATTCATTATTTATTTGGTAAAATTTATATGCTGCTTAATTGGGGAAAAAAACAACACCAACCAACCAACCAACCCTTAAAGCAATTGATTTTAGATGCTGGACTTAATGGCTTTATGACCTCCTCCTTCCAATGGTAATGCCAATTACTTCTTTTATAGCTCAGTTGGTTAGAGCGTGGTGCTGATAATGCCAAGGTCGCAGGTTCAGTCCCCACATGGGACAGCTGCACTGCATGGGGTTGGACTAGATGATCCTTAGGGTCCCGTCCAGCTCTATAATTTGATGGTCCTGCATGTAATAAGCCACCTCTTCTGCATTTGGCAGGCCCACCTGCTCGTTTTGTTGAACAGGACCTCAGTTCTGTGCCCCAGAGACCCACCCCAATTCACAGTTCACAGCCCAGTTCACAACACACCTGCAAAGTAGTTTAGGCTGCGCTCTCTCTCTCTCTCTCTCTCTCTCTCTCTCTCTCACACACACACACACACACACACAGAGGGATCTACCTTTGCTTAGAATCTAGAGGTTCTGGTCCAGATCTCCTCTAATTTGACAGACCCCCTAATTTCAATGCAGAAAGGGCGATCAAACCCAGGAGTCCAGGCTCTCAGCCCTGCCCCACTTCCAGCTCAATTGCCAGTGTTTAACGCTGCTGAGGAACATGGCCTGCCATCAGTTTTGCTGCCTTCCCAGAGATGCAGCCAGAACCCAGGATCACAGGCTCTGCACAGTGAGATCCCCCCCCCCCGCTGCCTCCCACCAGCATCTCCAGCCATTCTGCTTCCAGAGCTGAAAAACAAAACCCCGGGGGGAATGTGGTTTGGCTGGCAATTTGCAAATGTGCAATTCCGGATGGCTGTTGGATTGGTGCTGGGGAGGTTCAGGGGGAGGGAATCGGTGCCTTTGAGAGATTTTTTGGCTTTCCTTCCCCTTCTGACTCTCTCCAGGCAGGAGGGGCTGGGATTCCGCCTGGCCACCTGGTTTCTGCTTTGCAACCACAGCAGGGAGGGAGGAAGGACGAATCAAGGTGAAGGAAGAGGAAGACCCAGGCTGAGAGACAGGATGCAGAACACCTAGCCAGACCCACAGACCCGGGTGCACATGGCAAGAGCAGCATGGATGGGGCGAGGGGGAGGTGGGGAAGGCACAGAACCCCCCATGGATAGTAATCACACTTATAGACATACACAGAGGTTTTCTGTCTGGGCCTGTTCTTTCAAAATCCCTGTTATTCCTCTTCATCATCAGTGAACCTTCTCCATCCCTTGATGAGGAATTAAAACCCTGCTCCTTCTCTTTGGGATTGATAGGCAAAGGCCCACCTCCAACCCTGCGCCCTCTGAAACCACCTGCTTTCATAATGGCAAAATCCTGCAGCACTGCCGAAGGCGCTCAGAACCTGCAAAGTGTGTGGCACTGAGTCATGCCAGCTCTCCAGAGCGTCACAGACAGGGTCTTTTCTCAAGCCTTACCAGGAGATGATGAGGATCGAACCTGTGACCTTCGGCTTGCAAATCATGGGCTGCGTCCTACAGCAGGGAGAAGAGATAGAGAAGCTGTGTGCATTCTTCTATCAACAGCATTCACCTCAATGTCTCAGCGGGACCCCCAGGTCAAAAGGGCAGCCTGAATGTGACTTGCTGGGGGAAATAGTGGGAGGGAGCTATGGCTTTCATGGCCTGCTGGGAGACTTCTTGAATGTGCTGTCCACTGTTGGAGGCAGGGTGCTCTGCTAGTTGGACAGAGGTAGCAGGGCTCCTCTTTTGCCTTCTTGCCTTCCAGAAATCGGAGACAGGTGCTTTGGGACACCAGCTCTCCCTTCCCCCGCTTCCACAGGCATTTCCAAATGTCGTGAGAGCAACTGCTTTTCCTGACCTTCAGAGTCTGAATCACAGGAGACAGATTTCCTACTCAGAAGGCATTCCCCCATGGAGAAGTTGTGCAAATTGCACATGTAATTCCTCACACCGGGGCTGACAAGTACACAGGGCTTTATATCACCGAGGTGCCCATTTTTGAACACTTGAATTGCAATTTATCGGGAAGTAAAGGTTATGGGGCATACTCCTCTGTTGTCTCCCGAGACAGAGAGATACCAGCAACAAAGATTTTGAAAGGTTTGATGTGTTACCAGCTGTTCCACACATACATACTGACTTCTTGGTGAACATGCAAGTCTGGGCTGCCTTTTGGATGTTTTCATGTGTTTTTACCTGTTTGGGAAATGGAGTGGAAAGGCGCCACCAGCTGTGACCCACCCTGCCCATGTCAACCCAACGAAACAGACAAGTGTGCCTTCTTCCCACAAAGCAAACTGTTTAGATATTATTGCATTCCTGCCTCACCTTTCCTCTAACGCAGTGTTTCTCAACCTGTGGGTCCCCAGATGCTGTTGGACTACAACTCCCATCATTCCTAGCCAGCATGACCAGTGGTCAGGGATGATGGGCATTGTAGTCCAACAACATCTGGGGACCCACAGGTTGAGAACTGCTGCTCTAACAAGTCCAAGGTGAGGCTCCCCCCTCCATATTATCTTCACAACAACCCTGTGAGGCAGGCTAGGCTGAGAATTGGTGGTGTACCCAAGAGCATAGAATCATGGATCATAGAATTGGAAGGGACCATGGGGGTCATCTAGTCCAACCCCTGCAGTGCAACGTGGGGCCCAAACCCACAACCCTGCTGTCCCAGCAGCCCACACCCAGTGAACTTCATGGCCCAGCGAGGTTTGGAACCCTGGTCTTAATCCATCTCTCTAACCACTGCACCATACTGTCTAGGGTCCTGTCAGTGCTCACACATCTTTCCCGCAGGAAATTTCATCTTGTGTGAAGCCATCCTTAAGACCATTTCTGGTACTACAAAGGCTCCATTTCCCTACAGCAGAGGGCTGGGAATCTCAGGCCTGAGCAGACAACCCCAAGCTCCTTTATCTGGCTTTCAAGATTATCCTCAAACCCCGCCCCATCCTAAGCCCTGCCCCTAACCAGACAAGTGCAGGAATGTGCCCTTGAACTATGCCTCTGGCTTGGAGGATGGCGAGCTGAGTGTAAGGGTAGTAACCTCTGCCTTTTACCTGGCTGGAATGTAGCCCGCTGTTCAAGGGAAAGAGCAATGCCTTTTGCTCCATCCACTTTCTCTTCTGGCCCCGCCCACTACTGGCATGTGACTCACCGAAAGCTTTCCCATGAGCAGGGCCGCATTTAGGTTTGATGAGGCCCTAAGCTACTGAAATTAATGGGGCCCTTTATATGTCCAGCTGTCCTTTGTCAACAGCAAATTGTCACCGTTTTTTGTGTTGAATATATGCTATATGGTAATTTATGGACCTAATAGGTATCTCAAGCCATTTGCACATGTTGCCGTGCAACCAGTCCATGCAGAATGTAGGCACCCTATATATAGAAATGAGCAAACCAGTGATATTTTAGGGAGCAGGCTAGCAGGTGGGGCCCATTATTTACATCATAGGAGCCTACACAACACAAAACACTGTTGCTGTATGTAGATTTTATTTTATTTGCTTTTTTATCTTATATTTTGGAAATGTACATCCAGCTTTTTCCCCTATAATTTTTTTTGGGGGCCCCAAGAGAGTGGGGCCCTAAGCTATAGGGCTTCTTTAGCTTATATGTAAATCCGGCACTGCCCATGAGAGGCAATGTGGCCCCTGGACTGAAAAAGTTCCCCCAGCCAGCTCGCCCTACAGGAAGTGAGCATCCAACGTCACCAGAAGAAGTGGGCGTGGCTTGGTCTATGGTGCCTGTCCTCACGATGTTCATGAATATGTGGAAATGTGGCGTTTGCCTGCCACATCCGCACATCCACACGGTGCATTCAAAGCGCTCTTGTGCAACTTTAAACAGACGTGGCTCCCCACAAATCCTAGAAACTCTGGTTTGCCTGTGTGTGTGTGTTAAGGGTCTCCCAACAGCTTTCGGCACCTCTAACGAACTACAGTTCCCAGGATTTTGGGAAGTTGTTGAGTGCGTGCGTGTGCTCCGAGAGAAGCGGAAGAAGGAACACCCTGCTTGCTTCAAGCAGGAATGGAGCTGTCCATTTCAGCACCATCAACAAGGACTGCGTTGCAGGGCTTGGCCACAGATGGAATGCCAGCCATTTACAGCTCACAGCCAATCAGGTTCCAGAAGAGGCGGCTGTGATGGGAAGAGTTCTTGGCAAACTTTTCCTTTGAGAATTGAAAGGGAACGGGGCGGCGGCGGCGGGGCGGGGGGGGAGGGAGGAGAAAAGGAACGATGGGAAACTGCCCAGAAAATTTCTATTGAAGGACAGTTTGGAAATGTATACAATAAATAATAAATAATAAGAATGGGCAAGGGCGAAATGGTTTGGGACGTGTGGTCAGAGCAGAGGAGCCCGGAGTAGGGGAAAGGCATGAGAAAGCAAGCGGCAAATGTCAATGAAATTGAACTGGAAAGATATTGTGTTGGCGTGACAAAGGCATATGAGTGTTGCCAGGAGTCTGCGGACATGATGGATTTCTTCTTGAATCTGCAAGGGAGCAAATGGAAACAGAGGTCACTGCACCCAAAAGATCCTGTCAACGATTAATAATAATAATAATAATAATAATAATATGATTTTAAACCCTGAGGATTTTACTGACATGCTTACATTTCTCCCACTGAAACTCATGGGATTTTGAAGAGCATAACTTTGGCTAGATAATGTCCACAGACAGTGGTAAAACTCAGAGTGGATTTTGTGAGCCAAAGTCCAGGACCCCCCAACTGACAACCCAGAGAGCAGCAGCGTATGGGGTAGGAGCAGACAGGCCCAGCAACAGAAGTTGGGCTGGTGATTAGCATGCCAGGACCCACGGAGGATGATGTCGGTTCCTGCAGACATCCTTTCTTCTTATTTTTGAAAACATTAGAGTTGCAGGGTGGGTTGCCAGCAAGGCAGGCATATGTTTAGCTATGGATCCACATTTTATTAACCAGGTTTTGGGGGGAAATATATCCTTCCCATGACAAAAGGGTGTTTATTCTCAAATTGGCATGAGAACAGCAGGAGGAAACATAATTTCATTTCTGTGGTCATGGCGGTGCTAAGATTTAAGTGAGTGTGAAATGTAAAACTGCATATGCTCATAGCATTTTCCTTTCTTTTAAACGGCGTCGGCAAACTTTTTGTTTTGTTTGCTAACGCATCAGGAATGTTGTGACAGTTGTGAAAAGCGTGGAATGGCTGGGTGAGGGAGAAGAGAAATGTCAAGGTTGTGTTTCACAACTGAAGTTGTACATGTGGGGCAATTAAAGGGGGGCAATTAAAGCCACTAAGTCTAGGGGCTAAAACTACTTAGCTATACCATTGCCCATGGCACTTTTTGAGTGTCCAAAGTACTGTACTTATGTACTAGTAATCCTATAAGGGAGGTCAATTTCCTTAGGATTATATTGCAGGCCTGGAGCCAGTGGTCAGCTAGGTTAGGCATTGGCCATGGACTTCAGAAGCTCAGAAGGACCCTTCAATGGACCAACTTTGTGGTCCTGCCACTTACCACCCTCTTGATCTGGCCCCCAACAGACATTTCAGTGGTGGGCAAGTGGCAGTACCACTTTGGACCAGAAGCTGAAGTCAGTTTCTAGGCATGCTGTGGCTGCACTTCTCTCTCTCTCTGTGTGTGTGTGTGTTGGGGTGTGTGTGTGCTGGGGTGTGTAGAAGTCCCCCATTGGCAGCCCAGCTCTGATGGTCCCCCAGATTCTGGCACCATATCTGATGGTAGGGATCTGAGGCTGAAAGATAGCAGTTTGGACTGGATGACATCACTGTTGGGTGGATTTGTAGCTGGTTGACTAACGGAACCCAAAGAATGCTCACTAATGGTTACTCATCAGCCTGGGAAAAAATGACAAGTAGGGTGCCACGGTGTTCTGTCCTGGATTTGTTGTTGTTCAAGGTCTTCATAAACAACTTGGACAAAGGAACTGAGGACAGCCTCATCAAATCTGCAGGTGATACCAAACTGGGATGGGCAGCTAATACCTTAGGCTTAGAAGATAGATTCAGAATTCAACACAACAGATTGGAGAACTGGGCCAAAACTAACAAACTGAATCTCAGTAGGGACAAGTGCAAGGTTCTACACTTTGGCAGGATACAAGATGGGGGTCACCTGGCTTACCAGCAGTACATGTGAGAAGGATCTAGGGGTCTTAGCAGACCACAAGCTTAACATAAGTCAACAGTGGGATGCAGCAGCAAAAAAAGTGAATGCTCTTCTAGGCGGCATCAACAGAAGTATAGTGGAATACTGTGTCCAGTTTCGGGTGCCACAATTCAAGAAGGATATTGACAAGCTGGAACACGTGCAGAGGAGGGAGACCAAGATGATCAAGGTTCTGGAAACCCAGCAATTTGGGGCAGTTGAGGGACTTGGGTCCTTTTAGCCTGGAGAAGAGGAGAATGAGAGGAGGTATCATAGCCATCTTCAAATATCTCAAGGGCTGCCACATGGAAGAAGGAGCAAGCTTGTTTTCTCCTGCTCTGGAGGGTAGGACCCGAACCAATGGCTTCAAGTTACAAGAAATGAGATTCTGACTAAACATCAGGAAGAACTTTCTGACATTAAGAGCTGTTCGACAGTAGAACGGACTCATTCAGAAAGTGGTGGCCTCTTCTTCCTTGGAGATTTATAAGCAGAGTTGGCTGTCTGTCTGTCACGGATGCTTAAGCTAAGATTCCTGCATTGCAGGGGATTGGACTAGATGACCCTCAGGACCCCTTCCAACTCTACAAATCTATGATTCTAAAAGAATATTCTCTTCCTTTCTACCCCACTGACCACCAAATCACTTCATTGATTAATGCAGCTATTTATTTCTACAAAGAGTACATTATTATTATTATTATTATTATTATTATTATTATTATTTCACAGCACTATTAATGTGTCTGGTACAGTGCTGAATCAGCAAAAAAAGAGGCAAAATAACATTGATCACTGTCTCCTAGGAGTTTACATGCTAAAGAATGGCAATAAAGAATGAGCAGAGGAATAGGGGAAGGTAGGGATTATGGGTAAGAAGTAAATGTAATCAAATACAGTTTTCACACTAGCCAAGGGACGGGCAATGGCTGCTTGTCTCTTCCCAGGTACTTCTTGATTCCTACCCAAACCTGAATGCCAGCTAATTCATCCTACTGATGCTCTGGATAGGGAGAAAGATTATGTTAGAAGGCAGAGGGAGGATTAAGAAATCCACCCCTCTCTCTCTGGCCTCCACAAGCTTTTCACAGATGAGGGGTGCCTAAAGTTTATCCTCCCCCATATCAGGCCTTCTGAACCTGTGGCAAACCCCTCCTCCCATTGGGCAGTGATCCTATTTGTCTTGCTGCCGTGGAAACCCCTTCCTTCTGTTGCCACAGTGACTCTGGGTCACATGGACTTCCCCTTGCCCAGTTGCCATGGAGATCAAATGAGGGATGATGGAGGCTGAGAAATGATGCTGGGGCCTGGATACTCTTAATCCCTGACTCCAGTTTAGATCCAGGGAGACTATCAGGGTGGAGTTGGCACTAATCCCTGGGGAGTGGGCCGTCCTTGCTCTGAAAAGAACCAGTAAACAGTTACCAGTCAGATAATACCATTGCTTCACTTCTTTTCTTTTTACAGGAGATGTTTACCTTGGATCTCACTGATGGGGTGGTGGTTTGGGGGAGAATTGTAATCTGACTCACTAGAGTTTGATTTCATCACAGTAAAGCTTGATTTTTAACTATTCCCCAGAGTCCTCAGATCTTTATTTCATAGCCCCAAGAACTCACTGAGAGCCCCACTTGAACCAAACTTGGCTTTTCCAAGGAAGGTCAAGATAGAAGCTTTGATTGTTTGCTTGCTTGTTTATTGCAGGGGCAGGGAAATAGTTTTAGGCTGTGTTCCCTTCTGGGAGCTTTTTGCAAGTGGTGCGGTATTCACATCCGTGTAATGGCCATGTTGTGGCACTGCACAGGTGTCTGGTCACGCCAGAGGCATTCAGGGTCCTGTGAACATGTCATACTATATTCCAGGTCCTGTCTCCATGAGACTATAATGCCAGACCAGTTCCTGAGGTACAGTAGTTTTGGACTTCAGCTTCCATCATCACTGACCGCTGGCCATGTTGGCAGGGACAGATGGGAATTGCAGCCCGATGCATCTGAAGCGCACCAGGTTTACAAAGGCTGGGACATCCTCCTTAAAGAGTGGGAACAATGTGAGGTCGAACTGGTGCAGAGTAAAGTGCAACTACTAGTTGCAACAATTTGCAAGGTGTGGTTTTATGAATGCAGCCTAAAATTGCATTAATTTTCTTTGTAGGTACACAACAATGCTGACTCATGTTCACTGCAGTCCTGAGATCCTTTTCACACGAACAGCTGCCAAGCAGAGAATTCCACAGTTCTATACTGATGTTTTCAAACAAACAAACAAACATTATCAGCTTAAAGGGAAGCCTTAGTGCAATGCAGGTTCTGTGACTGATGGGGGTGAAATGTGGTAAGGACTGTGAAGCCACATATTTTATGTGCAGTTAGGAAAGTGGGGTGAAGTGTGTGTGTGTGTGTGTGTGTGTGTGTGTGTGTGTGTATGTAAATGCACAAACCAGAGGATCCACTTATCTTTCAGGAAAAACAAAACATGTGTTCAGATGGTATCACTGCATATTAGCAGTGGTTTCATACCAATTCAAATATCATGCTTTATCCCCAAGGATTCCTGGGGTTGGTCAAGGTGCCAATCATTCTCCAATGGTTATGTCTGGAAAACTCTCTTTGTTAACAATCTCTATATTACTGTGTATGTTTTTGGAGGTTAAAGGTAAAGGGACCCCTGACTGTTAGGTCCAGTCGCGGACGACTCTGGGGTTGCGGCGCTCATCTTGCTTTACTGACTGAGGGAGCCAGCATGACTAAGCTGCTTCTGGAGAACCAGAGCAGCACACGGAAACGCCATTTACCTTCCCGCTGGAGCGGTACCTATTTTTCTACTTGCACTGCTAGGTTGGCAGGAGCAGGGACCGAGCAATGGGAGCTCACCCCATCACGGGGATTTGAACCACCAACCTTCTGATCAGCAAGTCCTAGGCTCTGTGGTTTAACCCACAGTGCCACCCGCGTCCCTTTTGGAGGTTAAGAGGCTGTAAATCTCCCAGTCAGCAGCTATTTCCCCCCAGAGGGTCAGTTTGCAGACTCCTCGATCTGTGAGTTTGGCCAGATTTGGCTCCCTGAGCACAGATTACATTCACACTCCTCATGGCTTCCCTGCAAATAATCCAGGGAACTGTGGTTTCTTAAGGGTGCTGGGAATTGTTGTTCTGCAGGGGGGAACTACAATTCCCAGGATTCTTTGGTGGGAGGAGCAATGTGCTTTAAATGGATGGTCTGGATGTGACCTCCGTATCTGAAGGGGTTACTGGTTTTATTTATATAGCTGCCCTATACTAAATCAGAGGAATAGCCTCTCCAGCCCAGTGTGCTGCCTAATCTGACCTGCAGTGGCTCTCCAGGATTCCTGGAGAAGAGAAGGAGCTTTCCTCCCACGTGCTCCCTGATCCTTTTAACTGGAGAGGCCAGGGATTGAACCTGAGACCTTCAGGCCGGCAACGCATGTGCTCAACCACTGAGATATGACCTCCCTCCCTCCCTTCTCTTCGAGTTTATTCCCCAGAAAATATATCTGAATGGCACTGGTTCCCATAGGGTTTGTTTGGGAGAGAGGGGAACACAGTGTGTTGGGGAATCACGATTGTGTGTTCTTAGGATGTTTCGGCACATCGTGCATTGTTTTGATGCGGTGTGGTGTGTGTACAGGTTGGGGAGGCGAATTATGCTTCTGAGGGGTGATGTGGAGCAATGCGGCGTCGGTCCTGGTGAGGGGGGTGTCCTCATTTCAGGTTGGCAGTAGCCCTCAGATATGAAAGGCCTCCCGTACATGTTTGTCACCTGCTTTGAGAAGGGTTTGGGGATTCCGGCCGCCTCTGAGGGACTGGCACATTGACACATTTGTGGGTCTCCATATTCTGTGCAGTTCAGAAGATACATTGTGGTTTTGGCATGTCGTGGGGGGTGGGGTGACACTTTGCCTTTGGGGGACAACTGGATGGGGTTTGAAATGCGTGCATACGGAGGCCTGTGGTGAACCGAGAGGCTGTGGGATTCTCCGGAGACTGCGATCCAGCAGAGTTTGGGATATTCCCAATAATTTGTGTGTGTGTGCATGCTTTGATTTTGAGGGTCCCCATCAACCGGTTTGGTTTGGGGCAGATTGTGCAGGCCAGGCTTGGGGGATCCCCTGCCCCTTCTCTCCCCACCTTGGGCAAGGTGAATTCTGCAGTAAAAGGGGCGGGGCTTGCTGGTGGGTCGGGGTGGGTACATGAGGGGGAGAGGAGCTGCTGATTGGCTGTTGTGCTGCCCCGGCTCAGACAGCAGCGGCAGGAGTGCGTCGAGTTCTGTCCTTCCGCGCCTGGCAGCCGTGGGCACAGCATCCCTGGCTGGGGCGCAGGCAGCTCCCTCCTCTCCCCTCTGTCTGTCTCACTCTTTCTCTCTCCCTTTCTCTTTCGTTCTCTTTTCCCCATTCCATCCATCCATCCATCCTCCTGCCTGCCTGCCTGCTAGACACCCCCAGGAGAGTCTGGGTCATCCAGACTGAGACGCCCAAGCCGCCAACATGGGGGTAAGTTGCGCATTCCTCTCTTTTTGTGTCTCTCTCTCTGTGTAGCGAACAATACCCCCTGATCAGCACACCTTTGGGTTTCTGTGCATCATTGCACCTGTATATACCGATGGGCAGCCTTGCTGTGCCCTTGTGTTGCGTACATGCGCTTCTAAACACGCCTCCGTGCCCGCATTGCATGCACGCGTGTGGCCGCGTGCGCACGACGCTGTACATCCGCATCTCTCGCACGCACGCGCCATCCCTGTATCTGCCGCTGGCTTACCTCCCTCTCACCCACCTCCTGATGACACATACCTAGAATCCTGCTCGCTTGCGCTTTACATATACAGCAGGGAAATGTCTGTGCAATCCGCGCAGATGTGTCTATGCGCACTCGTGTACGGTGCCCGTGTGACTCCTTAATCCCGTGGATCGCTGTGGATCATGATTTTGTGCGGTGTGCCCTGGCATGTATTTGTATGTGTCTGTGCATGGGGGGGGGCGCATGTGTCCCTCTGCAACGGAGGAGCTGGTACCCGTATGAAGCACCCTCCGCCCCCACCCTGCCGGTCACCTTCTTTTCCCCTCTGCCGGCTCCATGCTCACACGCAGCACATCTCTGTCCTTGTCCTTGGAGAGCGCGAGGACTGCGAGACCATTTTCCCCCTGTGTCCCTCCCTCTTCTCTTCACCGCATCCGCTAGGATGTGTGGACCTCATCCTGACAGTTCAGGACGTATTTTTAGCTGTGCTGTGATAAACAAAAAGCTTATCATCCCTTGGAAAGTGGTGTCCGCGCAGCGAGATTCATGATTTGGTGATGATGATGTGAGATTCAAGCCTTAGAAACCGAGACTCTCCTTCCTGGGTGTATGTTTTTGGAGAGGGGTGTCTGGAATTTGGGGCGCTTTTTTTGACTTGGATTTCTTGGTGGGGGGCGGCGGAAGGGGATGATAAAACCTTGCAGAGGGAGGGAAAGGGGCTGGCAGGGAAATGGCAGGCAGATCTCTCCCTCCCCATGGGTGACAAGATGTCAGCGCCGGATGGAGAGATGAAGGAGAAAGGATGAGTCATTGGGCTGGAGGTGGGGGGAGAAAGAGAGAGAGAGAGAGAGAGAGAGAGAGAGAGAGAGAGAGGAATGGAGGATGAGAGATGATGAGCAAAGGAGAGGAAGAGGGGAAAAGGAGAGGCAGCTTTAGAGGAATGGAAAAAGATGGAGCGAAGAAAGGGAAAGCACAGGAAATGATCGCCAGGCACCCAAAGGCGGTGCTCGGGAGAGGAGGGCGCTGTTATCCCCCCTCATTGATATTCAGGAGCTGTTCTCTCCTCTGGACGGGGGGGGCAGGTGCTAGTGGGGGCTGCGGCATCAGAAGGCAGCAGCAGCAGCCCCCCTCGTTTTGTGTAGGTGGCGCCAGAGGGGGGGCCCAAACAAGAAACTCACCCCCACCCGTCCCCCTATTTCTGAACTTCTATCATCAACATATGCTGTTATTATTATTATTATTATTGTTGTTTAAATTTCTCACCCACCTAGAAATATACTTTGCCCATTTGGTGTCCTTTAGCAATACAGTCCTAGGAGCGTCCAGTGACAGAGAAATTCATTTAGGAAGGTCACCTTTCCTGTTCATATTCGCCGCCCCCCGCAACGCCACCTTTCCTAGCCTTTGCAACATCCAGCAAAGGGATGTTGTTTGGGAACGGAGGAGGCCGGAGGAACGGAGCTGGGGTGCTTTCTAGATCCCTTGCGCCTCGATCATCACCAGGAATGGGAGACATAAACGGGATAGGATTCCCTCTCTACGCGCAAATAAATTCCTGATGGTTCCCAGCGGGAGGAGAGTGGGGAATCTAGTATTAAAAGCCCCTATCTTTGGCTGGGGTGGGGGCTGGGGAGAGAATGCAAGAGGAGAAAGAAACAGACGGGGGTCAGAGGAATGATGGCGCGGATTTCCAAAAGACAAGCACTCTTGTCTGTATGTGTGTGTGGCTGCGGGGAGCGGGGGGGGGGAGGGGGGAGGGAAAGCATATGGGCAGAGAGCAGCTAATCCGCCTTCCTTTCTGGCAAGAGGGAGGGGGCACATCAAAGAGACGGGGAGAGAGAGGGCACCATTGCAGCAGCTGTAACCTTGCAAAGAGCAGGAAGGGGAGAGGTAGAACGGGGGGGGGGGGGAGAGAGAGAGACAGGATGGGGAGGGGGAAAAGCATAGGACCATCGAGTGGGAACGGGGTTCTTTAGCTGGGGACGCACCATTATTTAGCTTTCTTTTCCCCCTGAAGAGAAAGCGAGGGGGAGGGATTGATGGCTGCTCAGCCTCCCCTTCTGCTTCCATTGCTTCCCCCTCCCACATGAGGTTTCCCCCCCGCCCTCGCTCCCTCCAGTCCCCTTTACAGGCTCCTATATTTGGTGTCTGCGGATAAGGAGAGGCAAGCTCTCGTTGGCAGCGTCTCTCTGCAGCAAAGAGAGGAAGGGTGGGTTTTTTTGTGGGGGTGGGTAGGAAATACTGGGAGAAAGAGAAGCTAGACAGAGATAGAGGGGGGTTATTCTAGGCCTTGTTTAATATATTATGGGCCTTGGAAAAGGAAAAGGAAAAGGCAGCTGGCTCCCTAGATCTGCTTCCTCACCCCTCATTTCTTGGCTGTGGGAGTTTCAGGGCCTAGGGAGAAAGGGATTCCCAAGCCAGAACAGTGTATTTCCTCTGGTTTTTATAGGGGAAAGGCATCCTCTTTCTCCCCCCTTCCTCCCCAGGCCAGCCTCTCCCCCCTCTGCCTCCTCTTGCCTGGGTCACCCTGACCCAGTCGCTCCCTCCCCAGGAATTCATTCCGGAGCCCTGCAAAGGCAGCCAGAGGGTGCGGAAGGTGTCTTGTCCCTTTGGCCGGGGATTTGCATTTGCTACCCTTCTTCATCTGCCTCTTCCTCCTCCTCCTCCTCCTCCTCCTCATTTGGCACAGGGCTCTGCGGCTGGTGAGCCTTGCTGCAGCGCTGGCACCACGCCAGGGATTTCTCCCTTCCTTCCGTCGCAGCGCCGCAGAAAATGGGGGTGGCGGTCAGGCCTGATGGAGCTGGGGAGGCCGGCGGGCACCTTGCCAGGTGCCGGGTGCCCAGAGACCCTCCCCCCAAGCTAGGCACGCCCCTCCACAAAAGCCCCCTATCTCCAGCTCAGAGTAACCAATTGCCTTTAGTCATCTCTCAGAAATACATCAGCAGGTTTGGTCCACAGGGACATCCTCTTTTTATAACTAGTGTTATAGGAGGAAGGATGGGTTCCTCTTCTCTGTACTGCAGTATGCCACATCCCCCCCCAAAAAAAAAACCCCCAAGGAGCAACTGTGGGAGCTTATAAACTCTCCTTTCTCAACCATTGAGCTTATCAAAGAGTTGGGACATTTTGCTTGGGGAATACAGTATTGCATTCTAACCACATGCCCCACCAACTGCTTTCCAGGTCTCTTAGAGGGGGGAAAAACACCTTGTGTGAGACTGCAGTATTCTCCACTGTAGGAAATCTGGTAGACATCAGTGTGTGCCACTCTCATGCACACAACTAGTCCGGAAATGGACATATATATGCAACAGCATATATCTGCATACTGGGAAGGAAAGCACATTGGAAAAGCATTGGGGTGTTGGTGGTTCGGATAGCATGCAGAGTGCATTCTTTTTCTTTCCATGTGATTCTGTGCATATTTTGTTCATGGTTGCACATGCAAGAGAGAGACTTGTCAGGGCTTCTAAGTGTATCGCATGCCTGCCTCGGCCCTTGGTGGCTTGGGGCCTCAGTACATGTGAATATCTGTAAATGTCAGCCTCGCCATTTTGTGTGTGTGTGTGGGGGATTCTACATGTGCATGTATACTGATTAGCATGTCTAAAGGTGTGCATGCTTCGTATACTCTGCTCTCAGGTTGTATATCGCTCTTTCCAAACATCTCAGCTTTCTGCCAACGCTTTGAATTGCAATGGGTGTTCTGATAGGGACATGGGTGAATGAGGACGTCTGTTGAGGTTCCCTCACCCTGAACGGTCATCTGATGACCGGCAGGAGGACAATCCCACTCTCAGTCACAAATCAAGGCCCAAGCTTTTTGCTCATCAGCACTTCTGGCAAAGGGCATCTCAAAGTCAGTCAAGGTCATGGAATATCCTCCTTGGGCCTTAGGAGCACATTTATTCCCCCCCTCCTCCTCTTATGTGGATAATGGCCTGGCCAGATTTTAGAGATGAAACTGCATCACAAGCCTATAGATTCCCCTCCCTTTTTCAGAAAGCACGCACCTTTTCTCTCACCCTGTTCAGTTCTTAGTTAATCTTCTTCTAGGATTGGGCCTGGAGAAGGAAGACAGTGTGGAGATGTGTTCGGATAGTAGTTTTGAGAGACGTGTAAGGTGGAATGATGGGACCACCACTGTTGCTTGTGGTGGGCAGATTCCATCACCACCCTGTCCTGCCATGGCACAGAGTCAAACAGGTTCTGCAGGTTTTTTGAAATGGAGAATACTACAAAACCTGCTTCTCTGAAGAATGCAGCTGGGCAGAAGAACTATGTTCAAAAGAGCGTCTGGGGGAGGAGTGCAGTCTGCACGCAACTGCAGGTCACTTTCCTTCCTTTGGCCAGATGAAGTTCTACCTTGGATGGGTCAAGGGCATAGACAAGAAGCAAAGGGTGGAATGGGAGATCTCGCAAATCTCAACCTGCTAGTAATGCCCTCGTGTGGGGAACTCCCTGGCAACCACCAATTCTGTTTGCTGAAGATATTGGAAGGATAGGATATTTCTGTAGGAAGAGACCTTAGGCCTCAAGCTCTTCTTGTTGCTCCAAAAATCCATGTGCATTAGCTTCTATTCCCCAGTGAAGAAGGAAAGGTGCTCTGTGCATGCTCAGAAGCATCCAGTACTGCACCTGTTCCAGAGGTGCGCCAGGGCTTTTATTAAGCCAGAACTCACCGGAATGGAGTTCTGCCACCTCTTTGTAGCGTACCAGAAGCTGTATATCGGCACAGCGGCCAGAGCTGTGTGACAGAGGTGATGTTGTAATGTGGCTGCAGCGATGCCAGTGGTGGGGTGATCAGGTGGAGCTCCCCCCTAAAAAACTTGGCATCTGGGTTGTCCATCAAAAAAATAGTGGGAGTTCCTGCACCTCTTTTTCTACATAAAAAAAGGACTGTGGTGCATGTATGACAGGATGCACAGGTTCTGCGGTTAAGGCTTACCATGAATTAAACCTTTGAAAAAGTGCATTTTTCTCAAGCGTTCAAAGCACTCTGCATATAATATTTCAGTTATGCTCCTCCGTACCCTGTAAGGCAGGCTAGTCGAAGATCTGAGAGGCTGAGAGCACGTGTCTTGCCCAAGACTACCCAGTGAGTTCAGGAGCTAAGATCTTTCCATCTCACAGCTCATTGCCATAGTCCTTGCATGACAGCAGCATCAGACAAGCACGTGATTATCTGATCATGTGCACCCCCAGAAATGCATGCATGGAAACAGGCTCCTCTGACACACTGGGTTCGAAACCTGGCATGCAGCAGGTTACATTGTGTGCAGTTACCAAGGCACCTAACACGGGTGCGAATTCTGACGCCGTCTTTGAGACCATGTGTGCAGGGCTCAACGGTTTGCCCTCAGAAAGCACAGACTAACCCCTGAGCAGGAACGCATGCGCAGCTCTGATTGCGCAGATCGGGGTGATGCAAAGCAGTGCGTATGTGGATCCTGGAGGGCCAAAGGGCTCAATGCTCATCAAATGCAGTTGTAGATGCAGTTGCAGTTTATCAGCCGGCAAAGCAGCATAATTCTGGGTCAGTTCATCCAGCCTAGTATTGTCTCAAGCAGAGGGCTTCCCCAGCTCTTTGTCCTGAGATGACCTTTAACTGGAGGTGCCAAGAACTAACCAGGGGACCTTATGCAAGCCAAGCACATGCTCTGCCACTGCGTTTTGCCTTAGCCAGCTCCTTAGCAAGATGCCACCTCTTCCGGGTCTCCTACTTCCCTTACAGGAGCCCTGCAGGGCTTCTTCCATCTTCTCCTGGTGGCAGAACTATGGCAGTCAAAATGTCTCGTCATTTCCCAGTTGGGGGCGGGGGGCGGGGAGAGAAAGCCACAAATTAAATGAGGAAGAAGGAATGGCTTCATTTAGTTAGTTGAATTTCTAGAGAGACAACAACACTAAAACCACAACCCAATAAAAACCAGTAAGTGGATTAAACAAAGGACAAAGATAAAAATATAGTATTAATTGTTTTAGGCCAATGTCTGCTTAAGCCCGTGAAGAATTGCATTGCTGGAGCAGACCGTGGGAGCCGGCTAATCCAGCATTTTGATCCAACAAATGTTCCTTAAAGCTCACAAGCAAAGCATGAAGGTGATAGCTTATTGTTTAGCTCTGGTATTTGAGAATTGGAGATATACTGTTCCTGAACACCGAAGTTCCATTTATCTGCCAGTGCTAATAGGCTCCGATAGTTCTCTGTGAATTTCTCTAATCCTTCTGTTCAAGCTAGTGGAGATTACTGTGTTCCATAAACCAATTATGCTCTGTGTGAATTAGGTCTTGCGGAATACCTTGTTGTTCTATGGACTCTTCATATATAGCAGGGAGCCTATGGCATGGTCAGTGGTCAGGGAAGATGGGAATTGTAGCCAAACCAACAACTGGAAAGTCACAGGTCCCCCATCCTGACATATAGCCAGGAGAGATGTATTGGCTGGTCTGAGTGGTTGTGATGGAGCACAGGAGAAGTTTCTTTTGATGATAAGGACTCTTGAACCTTTGGGTGCTAATGGGAGCTGCTTCCATACACAGATAGCTGGGGGTGGGATGCTTCTGGACTGCAGTCTACGTGAAACGATTGCACCGATAATGGTGTTGGTTTAGGGGCTGACATTCTAGCGTGTGGCATTTCACCCCCTCGTCTCTGTTTCCTCTCTTCCCTCAAATAGTACGGCCGCTCAGATAGCTACCGCGTGGCAACCACGCAAGACAAGCACGATGAGAACTCTTCCCCGAAGAAGAGCAAAGCGCAGCAGAAGGTCCGAGATCTGGATGATCTTAAGAAGGAGGTGGCGATGGTAAGACGATGGCCTGGCACAGCGTGGGGAGGCTGGGGAGGCAGCGCAGATGTAGGAACGTGTGTGGCCTGCTCTTGACCAGTAGATGGTGCTGCAGTGGAGACTGGGGCATCTAACATCACAGCAGTAGGGAGGACATTTGTGGGGCAGGAGATCTGGGACAGTCAGTGGAGACACCACCTAATTCCCTCTCTCTCTCTCTCTCTTTCTCCATCTGGCATTTTCCAGACCGAGCATAAAATGTCCATTGAAGAAGTGTGCCGGAAATACAACACAGACTGTGTGCAGGTGAAGGAAGCCATTGATTTCATCCAAGGCGTGATGCTCAACTTTGCTTCCTTAAGGGTTGGGTTGGCAAGTGCGGCCTGGCCCTCCTGGCTAGTGGGGTATTGATGTGGGGGAAACAGCTGGCTGGCCAAGGTGGCCAGCAAGGGAGCTGGGCAGTAGCTAGCTATGTGGAACAGAACGACCCTGCAGGATTGTGGGAGCTGATCTTTATTTTCTAGATAGAATTGAGGGGGCAGGATGAACAAAGCAGTATTAGGTGCTTTATCAATCATCCAGTCAGTCAATCAATCACTCAATCAATCAATCAATCAATCAATCGCCAGCCGACAATAGCCAATCAACAGCCAATAACAATAGTCAATTATTCAATAGCTAATAATTTCAGAGGTGCTGCAGCATCTAAAACAGAACCTGACACAAAAGTATGGGAAGCCCTATGCCAGGTATAGGCAAACTCAGCCCTCCAGATGTTTTGAGACTACAGTTCCCATCATCCCTGACCACTGGTCCTGTTAGCTAGGGATGATGGGAGTTGTAGTTCCAAAACATCTGGAATGCCTGCCTTATGCAGAATGAAGACAAGAAAAAGGATGCCTTTAGGCACATGGCTTCTCCCAAAGAATCCTGGGAACTGTAGCTTACACCCCACAGAGCTATAATTCCCAGTACCCTTAACAAACTACAGTTACCAGGATTCTCTGGAGGGAAGTCGTGTGCTTTAAATTGATGGTGGGTGTGCAGCAGGTGGCAGATCAGAGACACCTGACCCAGCAGCACTTTTGTGGGGATGGCTCAGTAGGGCATGGGTGTCTTTATTTTGCCTGTCTCCCCCTCTCAGGGTCTGACCCACAGCAAAGCCCAAGAGATCTTGGCCCGAGATGGCCCCAATGCACTCACCCCGCCCCCTACCACTCCCGAATGGGTGAAGTTTTGCCGCCAGCTCTTTGGGGGTTTCTCCATCCTCTTGTGGATCGGTGCCATCCTCTGCTTCTTGGCCTACGGCATCCAGGCAGGAACTGAGGACGACCCAGCGGGAGACAATGTAAGTTCTGGGGGAATGGCATCTGGGGTGGGGGCATGGAGGACAGAGCAGGGAGGCAAGGCGGAGGGGACGGGACCCCATGCAGCTTCTGACATGCCAACATCCTGCTTCTGCCCATTGTACAGCTGTACCTGGGTATCGTCTTGGCTGCTGTCGTCATCATCACCGGCTGCTTCTCCTACTACCAAGAAGCCAAAAGTTCTAAGATCATGGAGTCGTTCAAGAACATGGTGCCCCAGGTATGAGAGGAGGAACAAAGAGTTGAGTGAATTGCATGGGCCCATCCTATGAGTCCTACCAGCAAGTAACCAATAGCAGGGTGTGAAACCCTCTCTCCAACTGAACTCCACACTTTGCCCATGGCCCATGAGATTTTGCCAGGATTGATGCATGAACTTCCAGCTGCAATGATGGCTCCAGCCTTTACACTCTAGGGTTCCATCCTGGCTCCACCACCCCTGTCCCATCAGGCTTAGCCATGGCCCCCCCAGATTCCACTTTGTCTATGTCAAGTAGTGATAGCAATATCTCACAATGAACTACAAGATAACACCTGCATTTTGGACATCGGGTCTCCCACCTGTGAAATGGGAAGAGAAGTACAAAAACAACCCTGCCCCAGTGTGAATAAAACGACACATTAATGATCCACTGCTGACTGGTACTGTTGGTATAGGCGGGATCCTTCACAGGTTGGAAGTGCTGCTACGTGTGTGATGAGTCTTAACAACATGAGTGATAACCCGATTACTTCCATCTCTCTTGGAGACGATGCTCTAAGGTGATGTGTTTTAGGGGATCTGTGTGCCAGTAGCCGAGAACCCAGAATGTCTGCCTACCTACCTGAGCCTGCCTCTCTCACCCTGCAGCAAGCCCTGGTCATCCGGGAAGGCGAGAAGATGCAGCTGAATGCCGAAGACGTGGTGGTTGGCGATCTGGTAGAGGTGAAAGGGGGAGACAGGGTCCCGGCGGATCTCAGGATCATCTCGGCTCATGGCTGTAAGGTGAGATCTGCCCCCCTCCCCATACCGTCCACACCAGTGTCTCCAGCCCTCTGCTTCTCAACAGGCATCCGGGACCATCATCACGGTGTCTTTTGCCATTGGTTTTCTCCCATTCTGAACCAAACGTTGCCCTGTTCTTGCACTTCCAGTGAGAGCTGTGCTGGTCCATTTAACAGCCTAGTCAATGAATTAATTCAATGAGCCTAGATACACATGAAGAGAAAGAAAAAGAAAACCCAAATGGTTCTGAAGAAAATTGCTTTATTTTAGATAATGCATGAGGCATCCTCTTAAAAAAGCATCCCCTTTTCTCCCTCTGTCTCTCTCCCTAAGGGGAATATCTGAAGCAGGCATCCCCAAACTCGGCCCACCAGATGTTTTGGGACTACGACTCCCATCATCCGTAGCTAACAGGACCAGTGGTCAGGGATGATGGGAACTGTAGTCCCAAAACAACTGGAGGCCTGAGTTTGGGGGTGCCTGATCTAAAACAACTGTGGCTCATCTTAGTTTGCATATGTATTTGCTGTAAAAATTATTTATTTATAAAAAATCTGCAACCTGCTTTAGTCAGTGGCACATACTTTGAGCCAATATTTTTAAATTGCTTAATCCACATTGCTACTCTAAAACCATGAAGGGAAGGTTTTTGGTTTGTTTGGGGGTTGTTTTTTTTTAACATGAGAACTTCACAATGCATTGGGCTTTACCTTTGCCGGAATTTCATAATATATGAAGCAGCTGTGCTTCAGAGCCAAAACTTAAACTTAATCTTGAAAGTCAGACTTTGAGAGCCTTGAATTTATTACATACCACCTTTGAGAATTTGGAAATCTAACATGTGAATTTCCACATCGAAGTTAGAACTGAATTTTTAGAACTTCCTTAGGGGGAAAAAGAACTAAATGTGCAGTGTTTTCTCTCCAGGTGGACAACTCCTCATTGACTGGTGAATCAGAGCCACAGACGCGATCTCCTGATTGCACCCATGACAACCCTCTGGAGACAAGGAACATCACTTTCTTCTCTACCAATTGTGTAGAAGGTACAGCCAGAGTTTTATCTGCAGATGTGAGTGTGGATAGGAAGCAGTTGGAGAAGAGCCTGGGAGAAACCCTCACAAGGTTGCATTGCTATGATGGAGGGCCTGTTCACATCGATAGCCCTCAGTTAGCTTAATGCCCCTTCCTTTTCTCCAAGGAACCTTGGGAAATGTAGTTCTGCAAGGGGAAATAGGGATTTTTAACAGTACGGATGCTGGCGGGAATTAGACCTTAACTGGTTGCCCATCTGCTACTGGGCCAAGTTCAAGGTGTTAGTATATGGAGCCCTTAACAACTTGGGACCAGTTTACCCACGAGATCGCCTTGCGCTGCATGAACCCAAATCAGCTGCTTCGATTGGCAAAATGGGCACTACGACAGTTGACCCCTTCCTCATTTGATCGCTAAGTGTGGCTGCACCTAACCTTGGGAACTCCATGCCCATTGAGTTCAAGCAGGGGTCTTCACAGAACTCTTTTGGGCGCCTGCTAAAAGCGGTCTTGTTTAGACAAGCTTACCCAGATGCTTAGTAGGTAGAGGTAATTTTAATTTGTTTTAGAATTTTAACTTTGGTACAGTTTAAAGTAGAGCTGCAATTTTTTCTTGTTTCAACTTTCTGGGAACTGCTTTGAGGTAGGGCTGTTTGCTTTTTTAACAATCAAGCAGGGTGTAAATTTTTTGTTCTAACCAATTAACTCTCTCTCTCTCTCTTCTGCCTAACGACAGTTCTCAAGATTCTTTTTTTGGGTAGTGGTGGTGGTAGCAACCATTAAACTGGCAGAAACCTGGTAGGAATCCATTGTGCCCATCGAGTTGTCTCTCATCTCCCCAGGCACGGCACGCGGGGTCGTCATCGCCACAGGGGACCGCACCGTGATGGGCCGAATTGCCACACTCGCCTCGGGCTTGGAAGTTGGCAAGACCCCCATTGCAAGGGAGATCGAGCACTTCATCCAGCTGATCACCGGCGTGGCTGTCTTTTTGGGGGTTTCCTTCTTCGTCCTCTCTCTGATTCTGGGCTACACCTGGCTGGAAGCTGTCATCTTCCTCATTGGCATCATTGTGGCCAACGTCCCCGAGGGGCTCCTGGCTACAGTCACCGTAAGTAACTCGGGGCTGTAAATGTTCTTGAGGAAGCAGTACGGAGAAGGCAATCTAGGCCTGCAGCTGGAGATCTTGTGGGAGGAGAGATCTGGCAAAGGGTGGCATTTTAAGTCCACGCAAAATGGCAAAATGGCAAATCCCTACCTCCAGCTTGCCCTAGTATGTTTAAATCAAAGTGGTTTAACCACCTCTGACTCGTGTTTCTCCCCTCAAGGTATGTCTGACCTTGACAGCCAAACGCATGGCCCGCAAGAATTGTTTGGTGAAGAACTTGGAGGCCGTCGAGACCCTGGGCTCCACCTCCACCATCTGCTCAGACAAAACAGGGACCCTGACTCAGAACCGTATGACCGTTGCCCACATGTGGTTCGACAACCAGATCCACGAGGCTGATACTACTGAGGACCAGTCTGGTGAGGGCAAGAAGGGTACCCCTTGTTGGTTTTGGGGTGGGAAGTGCGATGAGCTGTTGGCGTGATGCATCTTCTTGTGTGAGGCATTGTGAAATGGGGCAGCTCCTGTCTCTCTAGATTTTTCTCCTCACCCCATTCTCCATTTCCTCTCAGGCCACATCCGCACCATAAATTTAAAGCGCGATGAATGCTGCGTTCACAGTCAGTTCCCCAAAGAATTATGGGAACTGTGTTTTGTTGTGGGTGCTAAGAGTTGTTAGGAGAGCCTCACAGAGCTACAATTCCCAGAGTTTCCTGTGAAGAGGGATTGACTGTTAATTCTGTAGCTCCATGAGGGGAATATGGAGTCTCCTAACAACTCTCAGCACCCTTAGCAAACCGCACTTCCCAGAATTCTTTGGGGTAAATCATGACAGTTGAAGTAGCATCGTAGTATTTTAATGGAGTGGATGCGGCCTTGGTTCTACAGCCCAGATCCATTTCCTCCCTCAGCTTAGAACGTCGCTGTTCAGTCCTTTCATCTGACTTTCCCTTCTTTGTAGGCACGGCCTTCGACAAGAGTTCTGCTACCTGGGTGGCTTTGTCCCACATTGCAGGGCTTTGCAACCGAGCTGTCTTCAAGGGAGGTCAGGAAAATGTGCCCATCCTCAAGGTGAGAGCAAGACACCGTGAGAGAATGTGAAGGACACCATAGTTGAGTCTAAGCCGGGAGGTGAAAAGTCAGGTATTGGGGTGGCACTGGGACCTATGCTGAATATCATTTCAAACCAAGATGCCCTTTGCGTAGTTAGGTTTAAAGGTGGGTGTCCTCATTTCTCTCATCTCCTTTCTGAGTGATGATAATAATAATAATAATAATAATAATAATAATAATAATAATAATTCTACTATTATGTATCAGCTTCCACACACATCTTAAGGTGATGTTCGAGATTCGATAACAACACAGAAAATAACATCAGATAGATAAATTTAAAAACAATACAAAGCAGACACCCATGACAGAGATCATTCAATTAGGAAAGCTTTTCAGAACAGAAATCTATTTGTTTGTTCTGGAAAATAGTATCGTTCGTGGTTGACAGTCTGAAGTGTGTGAGATATGGAGGGTGGCCGTGAGGGAAAGAGGTTACAAAAGATTGCTGTGACTTCTGCCAAGCAAAGGAATGTGGTAGATGAGGGGGGCACTGTGAGAGATGGAAATGGCCGCTTCCCTGGTTTAAAAGAGCCTCCATTTCTTCACAGCGTGACGTGGCAGGAGATGCTTCTGAGTCCGCCCTGCTAAAGTGTATTGAGCTCTCGTCTGGATCCGTCAAACTGATGAGGGAGAAAAACAAAAAAGTGGCTGAGATCCCGTTCAACTCCACCAACAAATACCAGGTATAGATGTCTCAAGGTGGCCCTGTCAACCCTCAAAATGGTGTTAGCTGTGCTAAGAGGTCCAGGGCAAGGTGACATTCCACATTAACAGAATATCTCCCTGTACTAGGGCGCTTGAAAAAGCCGATGGTATTCCTTCAGTGGGGAGCTGCAACATCAATAAAACTCCACAGCTCCTCTTCAAGATTTGATGGCATTTGCTAGAACCTTCTCCCCAATACTCTCTTCCTATTCATCTATAAATGCAAGTCATCCACACCCTAGAGCAGGCATAGGCAAACTCGGCCCTCCAGATGTTTTGGGACTACAACTCCCATCATCCCTAGCTAACAGGACCAGTGGTCAGGGATGATGGGAATTGTAATCTCAAAACATTTGGAGGGCTGAGTTTGCCTATGCCTGCCATAGAGCTTCATCTTCCCACGGTCCTGTCTTCTAGAATTTTCCTTCGTAGCTTTTCACCTCACTCCAGGCTCATTTCCTTTTGTCTTTGCTCATGTTCAAAATGATCTCGCGACATTGCAAAACAGACCTTCACTTTTCATAACAATCCAAAAACTACGAAGTCAAATACAATAACGTTCTGTAACATTCTTGTTTGTGGCAAGGCCGTGGCCATGTGACATTGAAGCCGGCGAACACAGGATCTATCAGTGAGAACGACGATCAGATCTTGGCTTGTGAAAAGGGGACTGCGTAAACGCACGGGACTTTGCCAGAGATTATAACTCTGGCTCCTCCTCAGCCGAAGGGAGGAAGTCTCTTCTTCTGCCCCCCCAGGAGTGATCAGATAGCTGTGGTTGACATATGTATCTTCCAGCTCAGCAGAACTGCCCCACCCGACCTCACCCCTCCAAGATCTTAAAAAGCTGTGGTGACTCTCCGAGAAACCTGACACTCCTCTGCAACGGGGAGTGAGGATCCCATCCTGGGTCTGGTTCTAGCCACTAAATTGTGTTCCACAGTTCCCATGGAGAGGACTGAGTCAGTGATCCCAATACAGTTCCCCATTCCAGGATTCTCAGGCCCATCAGCCTTAATCCTGCCTCTTTAAACGACAGCTGGAGAGGATTAGTCAGGATTCCCTGTGGCCAGCAGTCCGGAATGATTGGCCTCAGTGAACAAGTCCCTCTGGAGCCAGGAAGGTAAATTGAGGCCTGCCTCTGCCCAAGCCAAAAGTGGAACCAGCTACGCCCTGTGATGCATCTTACAGCCCATCACCATAATCTGATGCCCTACGTCATGTCGGCTGCCATGCCAGCAGGGCTTCATGTAAGCCTCGCTTACCCAGATCAGTTGAGTTTGGCCATTGACCGTCATGGTATCCAAATATAAATGAATGGGGGAAATCAAAGCACTTTCATCACCAAGTGCCTCGGGGCCCAAAGAGCAGGGAAAAACACGGACAGTTTTTATTATTATTACTTTTTTATTGATTTTCAAAAACAAAACAAAATTAAATAAAACTTAAACTTTAATATTCAACCTTTTTTATCTTCTTATTTACCCTGCGCAATTTCGCGCCCGAACTTCCCTCCTTCCCTGCTTCGGTTTTCCCAATTTACATCCATTCCTGCAGATTCTTAATTACATTCTATATACATCACAAGATTTATATTAGCCCTGCTACAGTTTTTAAACTTCTACAGTTATTTCGTATATACACAACAAATTTACTCCACTCCTCCTCAAACTTTGTCACTTTTTGGTCTCAAATTTTATAACTCATTTTTGCCAATTCAGTATACTCAAATAATTTCGTCTGCCACTCCATTAGGGTTGGTAACTCTTGGGATTTCCACTTTTGGGCCACAATAATCCTTGTGGCAGTCGTGGCATACAAAAATAATTTGCAGTCTTCTTTTCTCACTTCATCTCCTATTATCCCTAATAAAAAAGCCTCTGGTTTCTTTGGGAATGTATATTTGAAAATTTGAAAAACACGGACAGTTGAATGTTTGTCCCCCAAAATTTACATCATGGAATCACAGAACTGTAGAGTCGGAAGGGACCCCAAGGGTCATCTAGCCCAACCTCTGGCGATGCAGGAATCTTTTGCCCAATGTGGGGCTCGAACCCACAACCAGCACTACCAGCAGAGCTATCCCAAGGATAATCAAATAAGGAAGCTGTCTTGCTTCACACCGACCTAGTTCTCCTGCAGAAATTCATAATGGATTCTAGCTGCACAGACAGGGTAAAAAAACCCAGCCACCGGTTGATGTACTGTTATACAGCTAGCATATTCTGAAATAAGAAAGGTTAGCTGGAGGCATGTGGGCAACACTGGGCCCCGGGAGTGTTGTACGGGTGGCCTGAACAATTTATTTAAAAGAGCCACAGCCGCACCATATATTTAAAGCTCTGTTATAACACTTTGAACAGCCATTACTTTCCCTGAAGAATCCCGGGAGCTGTAGTTTGTTATAGGTGCTGAGAGTTGCTTTGGAGACTCCTATTCCCCTCAAAGAGCTACAATTACTAGAGTTCCCGGGGGGGGGGGAGATTCATTGCTAAACCACATTAGACTGAGGACATAGGATTCAATGTTCTCCCAATTTTTATTTTTATTTTAAATACAAAACCCTATCACTCCATTACTCACGGAAATATAGTACATAATTATAGAATCGTAGAGTTGGAAGGGACACTGAGAATCATCTGGTCCAACTTACTTCAATGCAAGAATCTTAACTAAAACATCCAGGACAGATGACCATCCAACCTCTGCTTAAAAGCCTCCAAGGAAGGAGAGGACACCATTTCTGGAGGGGGTCCATTCCACTGTAAAACAGCTCTTACCATGAGAAAGTTCTTCCTGATGTTTAGTCGGAATGTCCTTTCTTGTAACTTAAAGCCATTTGTTTGGGTCCTATCCTCCGGAGCAAGAGAAAACAAGCTTGCTCTGTTTCCCACGTGGCAGCCCTTTAGATATTTGAAGATGGCTATCGTATCTCCTCTGTCTCTTCTTATCCAGTTTCTCCATAGCCCTTATTGCTGGAGGGACGTGGGTGGCGCTGTGGGTTAAACCACAGAGCCTAGGGCTTGCCGATCAGAAGGTCGGCGGTTCAAATCCCCGCGACGGGGTGAACTTCCGTTGCTCGGTCCCTGCTTCTGCCAACCTAGCAGTTCAAAAGCACGTCAAAGTGCAAGTAGATAAATAGGTACCACTCCAGCGGGAAGGTAAACGGCGTTTCCATGCACAGCTCTGGTTCGCCAGAAGTGGCTTAGTCATGCTGGCCACATGACCCAGAAGCTGTACGCCGGCTCCCTCGGCCAATAAAGCGAGATGAGCGCCGCAACCCCAGAGTCGTCCGTGACTGGACCTAATGGTCAGGGGTCCCATTACCTTTACCTTCATCGTCCCTCCTCTCAGTCTCCTCTTATCCAGTTTCTCCATAGCCCTTATTGCTGGTGAACTAGCTTACTACATGCAGGGAACTTCTTTACACGGACGACAATTTAAAAACGTTTGAAGTGTACCCGTCAATCATTTTGCACCTTATTTTGTGTTTAAGATATGGGTTGGTTCTACGTGGCGCACTGTCTTCAAATAGCACCTTGGGTAGGATCTGGGAATGCTACCGCTCTCTTTTCCTCTGTCCCACAGCTCTCGATTCATGAGACAGAAGACCCCAACGATAACCGCTACCTGCTGGTGATGAAGGGCGCACCTGAGCGCATCCTGGACCGATGCTCCACCATCCTCTTCCAAGGCAAAGAACAGCCCCTTGACGAGGAGATGAAAGAAGCTTTCCAGAATGCTTACCTGGAGCTGGGAGGTCTTGGCGAGAGGGTGCTAGGTATGCCTGGCTGCGGAGAATGGACTCCCTGGGGGAAGATGGGAAGAGGGCTGGAAAACATGAGATGCAGGTGGACAGGGTGGGCTGCCTGCCAAATTTCATTCGAGACTAAGAAGCTACTACAATGCCAGTAGGGAGCCTGCTGAGCTCAGCAGTAACCCAGAGTTCCCAAGCCCTGGTTTTCTGGGCACCAGTAGCTTTTGAGTGCATAAAGGATTGTGCCCATGGATTTGGAAGTTTCAAGCTCCTTAAAAAAGAGACCATATGTCACGGTCCAGTCTATGGGCGATCGAAGCCCTGGCTGAGGACGTTGGGACCGGGGGCAAAATGGCGGGGCGGGAGCACGAATGAGAGTCCAGAAGCCAGGGGTCCGAGGGTCAGGAAGCAGGGGGTCACGAAGTCAAGGGCCCGAGGGTTGAGAAGCAAGGAGTCAAGAAGCCGAGGTCCGACGATCAGGAAGCAAGAAGCCCAAGGCAGGAAACGTGTTGCTGTGGCAAAGAGCCAAAGGGAAATGCTGACCTTATATCCCTTCCCGACTCTTGCCACCTGGTGCAGTGAGTTACCAAGCGGCCTCACCTGTGCGGCTGAGCCTTGCCTCTCCAGAACAAACTTAGGAAGGCCCCAGTCCTGCGAAGCCCTACTGGTCACAGGGCCTGGCTCCTGCACGCACTCCTGACTCCATAAGAACATAGGAAGTTGTCTTATACCTAGTCAGACTATTGGTCTATCTAGCTCAGCATTGCAGACTCTGATTGGCAGCAGCTCTTTAGGATTTCAGAAGGGGGGGGGGTTGCCAGCCCTTCCTGCAAATGACAGGGATTGAACCTGCGACTTTCTGCATGCAAAACACCTTCCTTTCTCAAGTTAGCACCTGGCGACAGGGCATCCAAAGGGCATATTCCGAGGGGTTTTGCCTCCTTCTCACCCTCCAGGTTTCTGCCACTTCTTCATGCCCGAGGAACAGTACCCCAAAGGGTTTGCCTTCGACTGCGACGATGTCAACTTTACCACCGACAACCTCTGCTTTGTTGGGCTCATGTCCATGATTGATCCTCCCCGCGCTGCTGTGCCCGATGCCGTGGGCAAATGCCGAAGTGCTGGCATCAAGGTAATGCCGTGTCGCTTGCCTTGAAACTGAGTTGTGGGTGCCAGGCGCTAAAATTCAGCTACCCCTCGAGCAAACTGACTGGCTGCTGCAGGAAGGCGTTCTTGGCCCACTGTGGAGTGCTCTGGAGTGCCGCAGCTCTTTTGAGATCCTTTGCTTGGGTGCATTTGTCTCTGTGGAGGGGCAATCGTGTCTTATAAGCAGCTCACTCATTCCTAAATCTCAAATTTGCCCATAGGCTTTGGAATCAAGGGGTTCCTTTGCTTCTGAGCAGTCATGAACACGAACATGAAATTTATTACGGTCAGAGACCAGCTTGAGAAACACAAATGGAACTACAGTCCCAATAGCAAAGCAAACATTTAAAACAATATACGGCAATGGATTTTGAGTTTAAAAGTGCAATAGGCATATAAACACATAAAAACTTTAAAATAGACTACCTTAGAAAAATGACCCAAAGTCGCCCGTGGGTTTGGGAATTTTCATAGCAAACTAGATTGAATCGGGGGATGGTCTGCGCCTACAGATCTGTGCTCAGAATCTGATGACAATCCGGGTCATCTTGTGGTCTTTGCCTAACAGGAGAAGATCAAATTTTTGCTTTACCGGGAGGTCAGTAAGCCTCACCAGCAGGGGGTCAATGGTTTCTCTACGTGCCTCATCATAAAAGGGACATCTAAAAAATATGTGTTCAGGGCTTCCTATATCCCCCAAAGGACAGGCGCAAATTCTCAGGTCATACGGGACTTTTTTAAAGGATCCTTCCAAGACTGGCAGTCGCTTGATTAGCCCAAGGCCTGCCAGGCCTTCTGTGACATCAGCGCAGCTAAGCCAAATGGCATCCAGCGAGGCTGTGGCACCTTGGGTTTGTATCAGGGTTGAGATACATACTGAGAAAGGCACCAGGAAGGAACTGGTATCATGCTGGCAGCCACCCAGGCCTCCCCAGGGGCCCCTTGTTCTGCCCTGTAAACCCTTAGGATGGAATGGATTGGACCAGGTGAGTCTTGCTGGTTAGCTAGCCAGCCTCCTCCTTTGCCTACACTGGGACTCCTTTGGTAACCATCACTCTTCCCCCACCAGGTGATCATGGTAACAGGTGACCATCCCATCACAGCCAAGGCCATTGCGAAAGGTGTGGGCATCATCTCTGAAGGTAACGAGACCGTGGAAGACATTGCCGCCCGGCTGAACATCCCCGTCAGCCAGGTCAACCCCAGGTGAGAGGGGTCAAGGTGTGTGGGTGTGTAGGGGAGGGGGCAGAGGCTGGAGACAAACATAATGAGGCTGGGGAGATGGCGCAAGAAGCAGATAACTCTTCCAAGGCAGAGAGGAGGAGGGAGACTTGGAAGAACATTGGCTGGGGTGAGGGAGGAACAAAGAAAGCTGTGGTGGCCTGCCTTTGGCAGTTTGGGGAAGTTTTTAATGTGTGATATTTTAGTGTATTTTTGGTTTCTATGGAAGCCGCCCAGATGGGCGGGGTACAAATAATAAATTATTATTATTATTATTATTATTATTATTATTATTATTATTATTATTTTGCTGCCTATCGTGAGACGGTTCGCTCCATGAATTTAAGCAGGTCTCGGCTTGGCAAATACCAGAATGAGAAGCCACATGGTATTAGGGCATCCAACGCTGTCTAGCTACAATACAAATGTACCTTATTCAGTTGTTATGGCTCTCTCCCCCTGCCCCCCTCCCTGTGCGAGGATTCTGGGACTTGCAGCCTGGTGGGGGCCCTCAGAGGACTACAGTTCCCAAGAGAGAAAGAATGACTCTTCAGCCAGATTAAGCCCGTAGTGGAGATATCTCACTGGAGCTGCTGGGAATGAGAACATAGCAAAACAATGCTCAATTGCTACCCCACAAGAGATCATAGACCAGCCTCCCCCAGCCCTTTTGGACTAAAACTCCCGCTGGCCCAAGCCAGCATGGCAAATGATTGGGTATGATGGGAGTTATAGTACAGGTCCTGGGCTGGCTAGTCGCTTCTTCCTTTTCCTGTCCTGCCTGGTTCATTGAGCTTCTATAGGATAGTCACATTTCTGTAACAGAAGGTTTCTGTCCAGGCGCTTTGGTTCCTCTCATGGTGAGGCCAGCCCTGAGTAAGGATGACCAGGTGCATCTTCTACCACCTTGACGCTGTCTTTTTGCCCACCCAGAGATGCCAAAGCCTGTGTGATCCATGGCACTGACTTGAAAGACATGGGCACAGAGCAAATCGACGAGATTCTGCAGAACCACACAGAAATTGTCTTTGCCCGTACGTCCCCGCAGCAGAAGCTCATCATTGTGGAAGGTTGCCAGAGACAGGTAAGGACATCCAGCGGGATCCCAAACTGGCCCCACAGAGCACAACCAACTAATCCGGCTGCAAGGTGTTGTTTGTTAAGATGCTAAGAGTTGTTAGGAGGTCCCTATCCCCCTCACAGAGCTACGGTTCCCAGAGTGGTTTAACAATCCCTCTTCACAGAGAACTCTGGGAATTGTGACTCTGGGAGGGGACTAGAGGTCTCCTAACAACTCTCAGCGTTTTGGGCAAACTACAGCTTCCAGAATTCTTAGCGGGGAACCATGCGTTACCCAATCTCTCTGCGCATAGAAAACTCAGGGAGAAGAGTTCTAGCCTAGCGTTTTCTTCTTTGGCTGGCTTGTTAATGTGGAGGGAGTTGCCTCACGGGGAAGCTTGCAGCCCTATGATTGCCCCACCTGCCTCTATAAAACAGCACAATCCCAGGCATTTTAGTGCAGGGCTTGCCAAACTTTCTGAGCCACTGGGCACATTTGGAATTTTGAGGAAGGTGCCGTGGGCACCGGTCAAAAAATGGCTGCCGTTGGGTGTGTGTGTGACATAACACAAAATGGCCGCCGCAGTCAGCATGTAGGAGAGGCCGAGCTGGCGCAAACAGGAACTGAGCAGGAGGAGCGAATGGTCTCTCATGCCCTGTGGGTTTTGGAAGGGAAATTTGCTGAAATATTTTGCAGGTGCCGTAAGACACACACACACACACACACACACACACACACACACACACACACAGAGGCTCCCATTAGTATCATTTTGGGAACGCCTGGAAGTTTGTGTGAACTTAAGGTTGCCAAAGACACCCTTCACCCCAAAATATCACCCAGCCTGCTCTTCTGCAAAAATCAGCAGGTAAAGCTTATATGACCAATTTTAAAAAGCCAGAAACCTGTCTGAGAAAGGCTTATGATATACAGTGGTACCTCGGGTTACAGACTCCGCTAACCCATAAATAGTACCTCAGGTTAAGAACTTTGCTTCAGGATGAGAACAGAAATCGTGTGGCGGCAGCTAAAGTGGTACCTCAGGTTAAGAACAGTTTCAGGTTAAGAACGGACCTCCAGAACGAGTTAAGTTCTTAACCTGAGGTACCAGTATACCCCACTGCAGGCTCACAGGCAACACTTCCCACTGCCGTTCTTTCCACAGAAATCATCCCTGGATGGAGAGGCTGGGTGATTGCCCATCTCTGTTCCCCACAGGTGAAGCCTTTTGGGCCTTCTTCTGGCTCTGAGTGTGCATTTCTCTCTCTCTCTCCCCACACCAATAGGGTGCGATTGTGGCTGTAACAGGCGACGGCGTGAATGACTCCCCCGCCCTGAAGAAGGCAGACATTGGGGTGGCAATGGGGATTGCCGGTTCTGACGTCTCCAAGCAGGCTGCTGACATGATCCTCTTAGATGACAACTTTGCCTCTATTGTCACTGGAGTCGAAGAGGGTAAGCTCTGAGGATTGCCGGACGCAGTGAAGAGGGGGACTGGATTCATAATCAGCGAGCGCTAAGGGTGTGAGCAGAACCTGGTTATATAGGTACAGCTTCCATCTTGCTTCTGCTGTGGGGGAGCCTCTAAAATGGCAGGGCTGTAAGCAGCTGAGCTTTACTCAGAGCAGAGCTGCTGGAATTCACGGAGGTAAGCTAGTCATGCCCATTCATTTCAACAGGTCTTCTCTGAGTAGAACTAGCATTGGCAGGATCCTATAAACAGGATTTTCATTACCTCAGCCAGGGGCAATGGCCCCCCAGGGGGTGTTGGACTATATAGGAAGCTTGACCATCTAGTTCAGTATTGTCTACACGGATTGGCAGCAACACTCTGGAATTTCAGCCAGACAGTAATTCCAACAACAACAGTTGTTGTTGTTGTTGTTGTTGTTGTTCATTGTTAGAATTTATATACTGCCCTGTACCTGCAGATCTCATCCAGAAGGGACTGCATCTGTTATCCCTGATCTAAGCCATCCCCAATAAATGCCTGTGCAACTTTCATTTAAAATCTCCAGGAGGCAACTAGGACAAATTTATTATTTAAACTGATTCAATAAATATTCTGCGCGCATTACGTCCCTCTCAGTACCTGAAGGCAACGCCTCTTAAACCGTTCTTAGTGGATTGGCTGAGGAATTGTTCCTTATTCCGCCTCTTCAATTCAAGATCCTTCTAAAGCAGAGCTTTCCTAACTGCGTGTCGCAGCACATCAGTGTGTCAGTTGCAATGTGTAGGTGTGTTGCGCAAACGCTCCCCATGCCCCTCCTGGGGCCGGAAGGGGGTTAGTTTAACCTTCCGGCTTGCTAGTAAAACTGAATTACCGTGTCGCGAAACGATGCATGTCTAAAAAATGTGTCAGCAACGTGAAAGGTTTGGAAAGCGCTGTTCCCAAAGGGAAGAGGGCAGCAGCAGCAATTGAGTTGTGGGTGAGAGAGGGGAAGAGGGGTGCAGAGATCTGGCTTGCTCTGACTTTTGGGAATCCCCTTGCCCCCCAGCTGTGCCCCCTGTCTCTCCCCCTTACGCCCATGTGTCTCCCTCTGGCCAGGACGCCTGATCTTTGACAACCTGAAGAAATCCATTGCCTACACCTTGACCAGCAACATCCCTGAGATCACCCCTTTCCTGCTGTTCATCATGGCCAACATCCCTCTGCCTCTGGGGACCATCACCATCCTCTGCATTGACTTGGGCACTGACATGGTGAGTCTCATCCCCTCACACACAGAAACGCTTTTCTTCCAACTCAATCCAACCTGAGGGTCATCTAAGCCAGGGGTTGTCAACCTGGTCCTTACCACCCACTAGTGGGCATTTCAGGATTCTAGGTTCTTAGGGGGTTCTACGGCACAAGCTGAATCCTCCTTCCATCAAGCACTGGTGGGCGGTAAGTAAATTTTACCATCAAGAAAGATGCATTAGTGGGCGGTAGATATAAAAGGTTGACTACCGCTTGCAATGCAGGAATCTCAACACGCTGGTCTCCCATCCAATTTGAAACCATACCAAACCCTGCTTAGCTTTGCAGATGTGCTAAACAGTTTTACTGCTGCACCATCAGGAGGGCATTGATCCAGTACCCAGATATTCCCAGATTCCCATTACTGCTGCTTCTTTGCAACCCACCTTCTGATTGGACTCAGGCTCTGTGGAGGAGCCCTGGTTCACTTCGGTGTCAAAAGCCCAACTAAAGCCTGGCATAAACCAAGTGTGAACTGCATGGTAGAAGTTACTCAACTGTGCTACTGTGTGTGAGGAAAGGTAGTATCTCTGAGTGCTCCTACCTGAAAGCAATACCTGCACACGGAAAACTAGTCAGGGAGAAGTTGAGATTCTAAACACTTGTCTAGAAATAGTCTCCTTTATAAGTAGATTTCTGCATGCAGGGATTCCCCCCCACCCCAACTGAAACTAGCTTTGAACCTGGGAAAGATTTTATCTTTCAGTGAATCCTGGGAGCTGTAGTTCTTACCAGAGTGCAGAGCATTCTGTCATTTCATTGCAGAACTACAGTCCCCAGGTTCCTTTGAGGCGAAGAAACCATGATGCTCAAACTGATTGATGTATCTAGGGAAGGCCTTCCTTAAAGCACTTTGTCTGCCTGTTACTTTTTGCAATCTGAACATGGAGGCAGAGGCTCAAATCTCCATGTTGCCAATTTGACAAAATGGCTGCCTCTGAACACCAGACTCATTCTGAGCAAAAGTACAGAGAAAAGTCATTCTGGAACTTCCCACGGTTCTGTCGCTGAATGCTATATCCCCAATGAGATGCTTGAACGGTTCTCATCATCCCTAACCATTGACCATTTTAGCCAGGGCTGATCTGTTAGCACAGGTTCCCCACCCCCTCACCTACACCCAAAAACTTCAGCCCCCAGCCCTGCGATCCTGCAATCCTGCTGACCCTCTCAATTCTTCCTCCAGGTGCCAGCCATCTCCTTGGCTTACGAAGCAGCTGAGAGTGACATCATGAAGCGACAGCCACGAAACCCCAGGACTGACAAGCTGGTGAATGAGAGGCTGATCAGCATGGCTTACGGGCAGATTGGTGAGTAAACGGGGGACAGCCATTGAGCAGGGCTGAGCACCCCCAGGTGCAGAAGGGAGTTGAGTGGGGATGAATCGGGCAGGTGTTGAAAATCAGGCCAACGTGCAGGTGCTTGGCTGCTGGTCCCAGTGGCGTATGTGGGACCTGGGAATGCAAGCAGTTTTGTCCAGTGGTATGTTCTTATTAAGTTTCACATGCAACACACAGTACACAAGTAATATGTTTATTTATGTATCATCAGTTCAAGTATCCTCTCCACAGAGATTCTTGGGTTGTGGGTGGAGTCATATGTTGTTCTTGTATTTACATGAAAACCAATAAAAATTATTTGCACATTTAAAAAAAGGAATGCAAATAAGCTTTCTTCCCAAGGCAAGTCCTCTGTGGCAGAGACAGAAATATTTCTCAGAGTAGTGAGAATAGGACTTACTCCCAAGTAACTGTGCACAGGGTTACAGCTTTATATAGAAAGCTGCCTTCTGTTGAATCAAGCCACTCGTCCATCTAGGCCAGCATTGTCTACACGGTCTGGCAGCAGTTTTCCAAGATTCCAGACAGGGTTCTTTCCCAGCCCTACTTGAAGATAAGGTAGCTTCCTAGGTTCCTGTGATATTTGGAGGACCGTGCAACATGTAAATCTGGTTTATCCATCTTTATTATTACATGTACGCCTCACCTTTCCTTCAAGGAGCTCAAGGTAGCATATAGGCCCATTTTGCTCCCCACAACACAACCCTGTGAGGTAGGCACAGCTGAGAAGGAGTTACAAACCTAGTGAGCTTCATGGCCGAGTTGGAATCTGAACCCAGTGGCCTCCCAGGTCTTTACCACACTTACATAAATGCCTCTTGCAATTCTGGTCAGCAGTTCACTACTCAAGGTGGATATTTAATTCCGGGTCGGATTCCAGATGACATGCTTGTGTTGCCAAAATTGTTAGGTCTGCGAATAGCTGCTCATCTGGTCTCCTGTGGTGAGTGAGGAGCAAACTGTGGCCAAGCAGACAGGGAAGCTTTGTAGCTGCTGTGGGTCTTGTGGGAAGGCGTTTGTGTTGCGCATGCGGGCTAATGACCTGTGGCTTTATCCACAGGGCAAACGTGCAGGCTTAGACACGAGACTAAGGAGGATTAGAAGCGTTAAGGTGGCTGAAATGGGAACCATGTGATTGAAGGGCATGGGCCAGCAGAGGCTGGCATTGCCCCCATCCCCAGCTTAGCCTGCCCTCAGGAAGCCCCCACCTGCCTTATTACTTATTGCCACTCCAAGGGGTGGCGCTGCCTGACAGTTTGCTCCTCTTCAATCTCAATGTTGCCCCTTGCAGAACCCAGCAGGGAGGGGGGGAAAGCCCGCCCCAATAATTAGTTGGCTCCACCTGTCATTGGTTCTTGACTCTGCCTATCCAGGGTTCTGGCTCCACCCACTGTGGGTCTCCCTGCTTTCTGCCAACTCTTCACTTCTTTTTTGCAGGCATGATTCAGGCATTGGGCGGTTTCTTCTCCTACTTTGTGATCTTGGCCGAGAACGGGTTCCTTCCATCTATTCTTGTCGGGATCCGCCTCAACTGGGATGACCGGACATGCAACGATCTGGAAGATTCGTACGGGCAACAGTGGGTAAGAAGAGGGTGCCCATTTTGCTTGCACAGCCGTGAGCGAGGCCGAGCATTTTGTGGAATTGCAGCAAATGAATGTTTCTGGAAGTGGGCAGATGCCAGAAATTAAACTGAGTGCCAATGTGTTAAGTGAAGTTGAACTGGGTCCAATATATAAAAGGGAGTGGGGTGGAGAATGATCAACTTTGGTCTGGTGAAGGAAAATACGTTTTGTGACTCAGAATGTTAGTCATAACTGGTCAGTGGCTGTGGTTGTGAGGAGGAGGAGGAGCTGCTGCTCAGGGCCTGATTTTTGGCTCTGGCTGGCAAACAAGCAGGTGGCAGGAATGACGAGGCAATGTGGGGCCCACAACGAGGGTCTTCTTGTTCCAAGGCCCCCACAAAGCCTGTTGCCGCTGCAGCACCACTGGGATGCCCTAGGCCATTTCGTCTTTCTCAAACTCAGTTCCATTTCTGTGAAATGGGAAGAAATGAGAGCCAGTGTGGTGTAGTGGTTAAGAGTGGTAGACTCGTAATCTGGTGAACCGGGTTCGAGTTTCCGCTCCTCCACATGCAGCTGCTGGGCAACCTTAGGCTAGTCACACTGCTCTGAAGTCTCTCAGCCCCACTCACCTCACAGAGTGTTTGTTGTGGGGGAGGAAGGGAAAGGAGAATGTTAGCCGCTTTGAGACTCCTTCGGGTAGTGATAAAGCGGGATATCAAATCCAAACTACTCCTCCTACACGGCAGAATTTCTTGAGCAGTTGAAGATGAAAATGATGCCAAGCCCTTTAAACAATTCTTTAAACCGGGCTCAGACAGGGCAACCTTCAAATACTGTGCTCTGTCAAACAGGACTTATGGTAGTGTTGTAGAGCAGGTCTGCTGAATCCATGGCCCTCTAGTCTCCAACTCCCAGCAGCCCCAGCCAGCATGACCAATGGTCAGGGATGATGGGGGTTGGAATCTACCAGCACCTGCCAGGCCACAGGTTCCCTTCCCACCTGTCAATCACCCGATGGCACAGTGGTGTCAAGTGACTGTTCTCCTTTGCCTGTGTGGTTTGAAATCAACCTACACAGGAAAAGGAGCGACGATTTGCAGTTGCTGACGATCAGCTCACAGGTGGTGCCTTTGTAAATGCAGATGCCCCGGTGGGCTTTGCAATCATTGCCGCAGTGCCTGCAACCCTCACTTTCAGCCAAGGTGCATTTTTACCTGTTGCACACCTAAATTTCCTAAATTTCAACAAGGCTGAGCGGGGATTGGTTTGGAGAGGCGGAGAGCGTGGCGGGTGAGAATGGCGGCATTGCATGTTTCTGGTTTCCCCATGTTGCCCTATTGATTGCACCCTCTCTGCCCCCTAGACCTACGAGCAGCGCAAAGTGGTGGAGTTCACCTGCCACACAGCCTTCTTTGTCAGCATCGTGGTGGTGCAGTGGGCTGACTTGATCATCTGCAAAACCAGAAGGAATTCAGTCTTCCAGCAGGGCATGAGGTAAGGCTGCTTGATTTTCCATTTGCTCAAGGAAACCGTAACTCTGTTTTGGAACCAGAAAAAAGGGGGATTGTGGAAGAGAGACAAGTACACATTTCAAAATTTAGTGCGTGACAGAGGGAAGAGTCTCAAACCCACAGCTGAAAAATGAAGGCTTGCTTGTTATGCATTCGTGATTCAAAGGCTATGACCTATGGGCAGGAACCCCTGACATACAAGGATCGAGGAATCCTTAAAAATTCCAACCCCCTTTGGTGGCTATAGGCTGCCCCACACATTACGTGGCAGTGAACTGGAACATGCCACAAAGAGTGACTTTGTTAGGAAGGTGGCTCTGTGGTGATGACTGTACCTGCATGGCAAGTGTATTTTCTAATATGACTTCATCTCATGCATTCGTTATATTTTCAAATATAATTTCTTTTTTAAAATATCATGTTGAAGGACCTCTGTGCTGGTCATTATCAAGCTACTACAGTCAAACCTTGGATGTTGAACGGCTTAGTTGCCAAATGTTTCGGCTCCTGAACATCAAAAACCCGGAAGTGTTTTTGGAAGCCAAATTTCCAACGTGGCTTCTGTGGCTTCCGATTGGCTGCAGGAAGCTTCCTGAAGCCAATCAGAAGCTGCACCTTGGTTTTCAAACGGTTCTGGGAGTCAAACGGACTCCCGGAACAGATTAAGTTTGACCACCAAGGTACGACTGTACAGTATATCTGTTCCAGGACACAGTGAGCACTGCCCTCTGTAGGGTTGCTTCGGCCCTTGTGGGCCTTACAACTTCATCCACTGTAGAAGCAGGAGGGTACCACCGCATGAGTCGGGATCTTACGGCTCTCTGGATGTTGCTGGATTGCAACACCCATAATCCCTGGGCTGGTGGGGACCCAACAACATCTGGGAGCTCACAGGGTGTGAAAGGACCCTAGAAGAAGATGGAGTTGGTAGAGCGTGAGACTTTTGATCTTAGGGTTGTGGGTTCAAATCCCGTGTTGAACAACAGATTCCTGCATTGCAGGGGGGTGGACTAGATGACCCGCGGGTCCCTTCCAAGTACAATTCTATGATTGGCTATTAGTGCATGACTCCTACATGTTTAAGGATACAAATTTTCCCTTCACACTGGATGAGTTTGCCATGTCTGGGTTTTGAAATATTGTATTGTATTTATTCATTTATTTAAATAAATTCCTCCAGGAAGAGCCCAGGAGAGCAAACATATCCATAATCATTGTGGGGGCTTTTGGCTAGATGACCCTCAGGTTTCCTTACAAGCTGGTTTTTGTTTGTTTTTTAAATAAAATTTCTGAAAACACTTTAAAACTTTCTAAAAACATGGATCTCAGGGTTGCCAGGAACAGTGTTTTTTAGTCATCTAGGTAAGCAGGATTGTTTTTAAATTTCTCCTGAAAGACAATAATGAGAGAAGCAAGAGGTGCCTCACGAGGGAAGGCACGCCACAAAAGCGGGGCTGCCACTGGAAAGGTCCTGACGTGGGCCAACGCCAGCTGGGCAGCCCCCAGAGGGTGGCACTCACCTGCCAATCACAGCAGAGAAATGGACTAGTTTCCAAAAACGGAGGTTCCAATGGAACCTCAGGGAGTTCTCCTTAAGCAAATGGGGGCAGCAGGTGACTTATAACAAGAGTATTCCACTCTTTCACTTTCTCTCTCTTTCCCCCTTCAGAAACAAGATCCTTATTTTTGGTCTCTTTGAAGAGACTGCCTTGGCCGCCTTCCTGTCCTACTGCCCCGGCATGGATGTGGCGCTGAGAATGTACCCCCTGAAGTGAGTACAGATGTGTGGCTCAGTGGCAGAGCATCTTGCTTGGCATGTAGAATGTCCCAGGTTCAATCCCTGCCTTAGGCCATGTTCACACCATACATTTTTAGAACTGCAATACTCTGTTAGACAGGCACGGCTTCCCCCCAAAGAATTCTGGGAGCTGTAGTTCGTTAAGGGTGCTGAGAGATTGCCAGGAGACCCCAGAGTTCCCCGTGAAGGAGGATTGATTGTTAAACCACTTGGAGAATTGGAGAGCCAGTGTGGTGTAGTGGTTAAGAGTGGTGGACTCGTAATCTGGGGAACCGGGTTCGCGTCTCCGTTCCTTCACATGCAGCTGCTGGGTGACCTTGGGCTAGTCACACTACTCTGAAGTCTCTCAGCCTTACTCACCTCACAGAGTGTTTATTGTGGGGGAGGAAGGGAAAGGAGATTGTTAGCCGCTTTGAGACTCGGGCAGTGATAAAGCGGGATATCAATAATAATAATAATAATAAATTTTATTTATATCCCGCCCTCCCCAGCTGAAGCTGGGCTCAGGGCGGCTAACAACAATCAAATAATCAAACAATCAAATAATCAAACATTCTAAAAACATTTCATTATAAAAATTAATTAAAATCAAATTAATGGGAACCGTTGAGCAAAATTCTGTGCAGGTTGCCAGAGGAGGGAGTAATAATAATAATAAATTTTATTTATATCAAATAAATTTTATTTATATCAAATCCAAACTCTTCTTCTTCTTCTCTCTGAGCACCCTTGGAGCAAACCTCAGCTCCCATAATCCTTTGGGGGATGCCATGACTATTTAAAGCAGTATCATAGTGCTTTAAATGTATGGTGCGGACGGGGTTTTCAGACAAGAGGGAGGAGTCTTTCCACCTCTGGCACAAGGACTTTTCATTTGGAGGAGGCCTGATCGCACCCAGGATGTCTGTTTCAGTCTTGGGAATCTGTTTCAGTCTTGGGGCACACAGGCACACACACACACAGATGCACACTCACACCCATCCACCGTCTCCTCTGCTCTTGTGCTGATCTTTCCTTCTCTCCTCAGGCCCAGCTGGTGGTTCTGCGCCTTCCCTTACAGCTTCCTCATTTTTGTGTACGATGAAATCCGTAAACTTATACTGCGCCGTAACCCAGGAGGTGAGTGGAGCCGGGAGAGTCGGGAGTTCTTTGAGGAGCGTGAGGAATATTTCGGGAGATGATGTTGAAGCGGGAAGTTCCCCTTCCCTGGGACTGGGCCCACTATTAGCCTCACCCAGAATAGACCCACTGAAATGAATGGGTATTACTAACTTTGATCCATTCATTTCCACAGGCCTGCTTTTGTGCAGAACTGTGTTGAGTTTGAAATAAGGGTTGTAGGCACCCTAATTTTATTTTAATAATATATTTATTTATAGACTTCACAGCTTCATATAAACAAGACAGAGGTCCCCCCTCAAGGCACTTACAATCTAAACTCAACTTTTTCCCTTGCTGTCCATTTTCATGCAGATGTCAAGGCAATAAACAACTATTTTACTTTTAAAAGGCAACTGAAGGTGGCCCTGTTTAGGGAAGTTTTTAACGTCTGACACTGTATTGTTTTTAATATTCAGTTGGAAGCTGCCCAGAGTGGCTGGGGAAACCCAGCCAAATGGGCGGGGTATAAATTATTATTATTATTATTATTACTATGCCCCCCAGTTCCCACATCTCCCCTATGTCAATATTTTAGATTGTAAACCAGGCTTCCTCAACCTTGGCCCTCCAGTTGTTTCTGGCCCACAACTCCCATGATCCCTAGCTAGCAGGACCAGGGGTCAGGGATGATGGGAACTGTAGTCTCAAAACATCTGGAGGGCCAAGGTTGAGGAAGCCTACAAACTGTTTGGGGCAGGGACTTGTCTTCTTCAGTGAACACCACACCTATTGATAGAATAGCAACAACGATGAATAATACAGGTTGTACCCAACGATGGCATTGCACCATCAGGAACCTCTCATGTGGCAGACTTAAATTTTCCTCTGATCCATCTCCTACCTTAATTTTTCACTGATCCATCTCCTGGCCAGTTCTGGAGATTCCCCAGACTTTATTAGAAAGAGCCTTTCAGAGGGTGCAGGGAGTTGCTGTGGCTTGGGGCAGGGAATGTGCAAAAATAGGGTGCCTTGCCTTGGAGCTTGAGAAGAGGAGCTTTGCGGGAGTCTAAACACTAAGCCACCATTGAATGCGACTAATTATCCTAGTAATAAGGATTATCATCATCTTCTGGGTGAGGGGGAAAAGGGAGAGCGGGTGGGTGGGAGACCTGTGGGTGGAGCCAGGGTTGGGGATGATGACAGGAGAACCGTGCCTGCCACTGCTGCCTTGCTCATGTTGGTTTTTTATTTTGTTTTGCAGGATGGGTGGAGAAAGAAACCTACTACTGAGTCTCCTCCCTTGTCCGTGGCTGGTTGTCTCCCCTTAAGGGGGAGTGCTCTCCCCTCCAAAATTCTGCCTATCCTCCCCGCCTAATTATGAGAGAGAGAGAAAGAGCCTGATGCCAGGATCATAAGTTCGGACACAGAAACAACAAAACCACCTTCCCCGCCTTCATTTCCCCGGACCCCGGTGGCTGAGATAGGAACGCCATCCTGTCTCATTCTGCACCCATGTCCCAAGATGGAGGGGTGCGGTGGGGGAGGGAAAACCGCCACCCCCCACACACCTCGACCTCTGCTCTCTGCCATATTCTTCCTTTAGTTTTTCGGAGCAGCCTGGTGGGGGGGGGAGAGGGGGCATGGGTGCAAGAGAGAGAGAGAAACGGGGTCATTGGGGCAATATTTATTTACCTCGGCAAAACCCATCTTCACCCACCAACCGTTGCCCCTGCATCAAATTTCCCCTTCCGTAGCTGGGAATGAACCCGGGGACCAGCAGTACCCCCAAAAAACAACATGCCTCGGATTACGTGAGCCAAACGGGACAGGGTTTCGGGAGGGAGGGTGCGGGGTTTACTGTTATCTGGTTAGCAGTAGTAAAGCTTTTGACCCCCCCAGGTTTGGGGAGGGAAACTCCTTTTGCTCCCCTACCCTTGTCATTTTCCATTTTCTCCCTCTCCCCTGCTCCTGTGGGGGATCTGTGTGTGCGTGTGTGTACATTTGTGTGTGTGTGTGTGTGTACGCACGAGAGGGGAGCAGAGGTCAGCCATGGGTGACCCTCAACTGCCCATCTACGCTTCCTTGGCCTCCCTCCTCCTATCAACTTTTTTTGGGTTGCGTGTGGCGAGTGTTGCAGCACAAAGGCGAACAACAACAACAAAACCCTTCAAGAACAAAACGCGCCAGGGTTTCTCGTCCTCTTTCCTCCTGGCTCCCGCACCCCTCCCCTCTCAACTCGGACTCCCGCTAGATGTGTAAATGAAACCCACGAGTCCGGAGTCCCTCTCCTCTGCATGTACAGATTTGCTCTCATAGGACCAAGATCGCAGCTTTCTCCCATCTCCTCCTCCTCTGTGTGTGTGTGTGTGTGTATGCGGGGGCCAGGATGTTACCCTTCTGTCCCAAGGTAACCCATCGGGAGGAAGCGGGGACCCTCCTGGCAGTCCTTCCCACTGGTGCTGAACACCACCCTCTCCTCTTGGGCAGCCGTTTTCCCATTTCCTTGGCCCACGACCCAGTACAGAGACCTCAGCCATAGCTCCCTCCCCAGGAAAAATTGTGCCCTTCCTCATCTACCCTGAGGTGGGAGGAGAGGGACCTCTCTGGCTTCTGACTGGGTGAGGCGACTTCACCTCTGTGTGTCCCCACCCTCAATAAACTTTTATTTTCTTTGTGTTTTGGGTGGGGAGGGGAGTGGGGACACGAAGCGCCCGTGTTGGGGGGGAGATGTAGTCTGTCCTGTCCCATCTCCCCTTCCCGTTTTGGGATTGTGTTGTCGTGTGAACCAACAAAAACAAGGAGGAAAAAACAAACCGATTTAACAAATAAAAACCAGAAGTGGAATATTTAATATATGAGATACAGCCGTCTCATTACATATATATCTCTCTCTGTGTGTGTCTGCGTTTCTGTCAGGAGAAATGGTGCGCAATGAATAGCCCGCCTACCCATTACGCAGAATGAAGTGTGGAGACCAAGGTGTTGACATTCTGGGCTGTACCAATTCAGAGGGGAGGTGGAAACCTGCGTTTGTTGTGTATTATTGCCCCTCTTACTAAGTACATGAACACATTGAAGAGCAGCAGCTCTCAAACTTTATTTGCCTCTGGGCCACACAGAATAAAAATGTGCTCGTGCCACACAACGAACAGTGACTCTGGATCAGAACTAGGGTTGTCCTCCGTATCGCTTGATGCTCCTGCTCTCATTTTGAAAAGGTATCTATCCGTATAATGCAAAAAATATTTTGATACCATACCACTGCACCGCAATATTTAAATGTTTCTTTGATTGTCTACCTGCCACCCTTGCCACCCTCTCCTACCAAACCAGTGTGGCAGAACCACTGCTGTAGAGAAAGTTTTAGAGTAGCTCCATCCTTGCTCTGCTGGCTATAGCATTTATTTTATTTTTATTTTTTGCACACACAAAGAACTGCCCCCTTCCCTCTGAAGCGATGCAGCCCAGAATTCTTCTACACTTGATGCTTCATAATGTGCCAATGAGCTCTGAGAAGAAAACCCAAGAGAAAGGAAAGGGAAATGTCGTTTATAGATGGTCTCAGCCAAAGCTTTTATAGGGCTGCTTATTAAGACGTCAGGCATTAAAGATCTTGCACGGTACATGGAGCAAAACGATCCATGCGCCACTGTTATGTGCATCTGATCCGCTGTGGCTTTGCTGATGGGGAGACAGCTACTCTTGCTTAGCAAATTGGGGTGGGGAGGAGCACACAGCTGGGCATCCTGCTTGAATTAAATGTTGCCTACGTGGCTTCTGAGAAGCAGCTGCAAAGGTGCGAGACAAAATTTAGACTCTAGCTAAGGGTGGATTTGTTGTTCTGTGTTTGGCCACAGGAGGGAGACAAGCAGCCTCTCCCAGTACTGCAGCAAACAGCTACGTGAGGATGGCTGGTTGCAGGTGGCATTGCGGTGGGTTGGGTGGATAATAATAAAGAGAGCGAGCCTTGGGCCTGGGATGCCCTCAGCTGCTCTTCCTCTCTTCCCCAAGTTCTCTTCTGAGGCTTCAGCTCTGTCCTGACCTCCTCCCCACTGTCTGGCACTGTCCTCTAACTTGAAAGATGCCTCTTGACGCAGCTAATTTAATCGGATTGCTTTTTCCATCTGGCTCCCATGGGGTGGGGAGTGGGGAGGAGGTCATTGCCACAGCAACAGAAGGATGGAGAGAGAGAGAGAGCACAGGGTATTGCCATGGTGACAAAGCAGGCTGAAGTTGCTGACGAAGGAAAGGTGGTGGCGAGGTACTCGGGAGACCCAGGTGCTTGGCTGGGTGGTGGCCCGTTTTCACAGAATTCGTAGAATTTTAGAGCCAGACGGGACCTTGAGGGTCATCTAGGACAACTCCCTGCAGTGCAGGAATCTTGCACCAAACATAGGGCTCAAACCCACAACCCGGAAATCAAGGATCTCGTGCTCTTTATCAACTGAGCTATAATTCCTTCCTCTCTTTTAAAAGTTCTACAGAGCATCAGAGAGGGCTTTTAGATGCCACTCTTGCCACTGCCCCCCTGGTTTATTGCTGCCAAATCTTTTAGCAGCCCTCTGCTCCTGTGCCTTTAACAGCAGCAAAACTAAATAAATAAATAATGGAGATTTAAGCATTCCCTGCCAGGGAAACCAAGCCATGGTGGTGAGAGGCAGCGCTCTTTTGCTTAATCATCTTGGCATACAATGGCAGTCATTAAATGCAGCGGAGCCTCGTCATCTAGAGATCTAGGGAACTGCTGGATATACATAAAGGGGGTGGGGGAATCTGCCATTTGTGTTTCTTCATTCTAGCATCTTCAGGTGTGACCTGAAAACTACGTTAAGACCTAGGCGAGCTGCCCTAATTTATTAACTCTGCTACCTCCTCTGAAAATCCATTTTAAGGCTGATGCCTGTTTGAGGCTTCAGCAAGAAAGCCAGTTTTAATCTCAGCAAACACGACTTGAAGAACAGCAGGGTATCTTGAGCTGCCTGGCATTTAGGGCAGGGAAGCAACTTTCATCCATGCAGTCCCATTTCTCAAAATAAAGACTTTGCAATCAACGTGTTTCGGGGTGACAACCTCTGGCAGCAAACACATGGCAATGTTGTGGGATGCAGTGAACAGGAACCGTCCTGCTGCATCAGTCCAAAGGTCCACTCAATTCACCCTCCTGCTTCCAGCTAGATCAGGGGTCAGCAACCTTTTTCAGCTGTGGGCCAGTCCACCGTCCCTCAGACCATGTGGTGGGCCAGACTATATTTTTTTTGGGGGGGGGGGAAATGAACGAATTCTTATGCCCCACAAATAACCCAGAGATGCATTTTAAATAAAAGCACACATTCTACTCATATAAAAACACGCTGATTCCCAGACTGTCTGCTGGCTGGATTGAGAAGACAGAGGGCTTTCTCGGTAGTGGCGCCCACCCCGTGGAACACCCTCCCTTCAGATGTGAAGGAAATAAGCAGCTATCCTATCTTTAAAAGACATCTGAAGGCAGCCCTGTTTAGGGAAGTTTTTAATATTTAATGCTGTATTATTTTTAACACTCGATTGGGACCTGCCCAGAGTGGCTGGGGAAACTCAGTCAGATGGGCGGGGTATAAATAAATAAATAAATATTATTATTATTATTATTATTAGGCCGCATCTTGCCCACGGGCCTTAGGTTGCCTACCCCTGAGCTAGATGGTCCTAGGAATCCCACAATGCAAGGTGTGATAACAAGCAGGTGGCAAGGGAGTCCTGCAACAAAGTATTGCAGCACTGAGTGTTCCTGCTCAAGGTTCCAGCCAACAAGTCACTCTATCCCAGTCAGGATGCTCAATTTCATCTCACCCTCCCAGTGTCAGCACTGAGCATGCCCGCTTCGCGAGCTGCTTAGGTTTCCGTTTCCCCTCGAAAGATTTGCTTTTACTCCGCTGCAAACCTATGGTTTTCGCAAGCCTGTGGATGCTTCTTTCTTGCGTGTAGAAGGCACTTGGAAAACTGATGTTACCATTAGCATGTATGACTGCAGACTCCCCCTCCTCTGTTAACTAGTCCATTCCCCTTAAAAAGTCATTGGAAGTGAGGGCCATCGCCACACCTTGTGGCAGTGAGTTCCGTAGTTATGCACTGCGTGAAGCAGATTGTGTTTTTGTCCATCCTGAATTTACTGCCACTCAACTTCAGTAAGTAAGTTCCATTGTGACGTGAGAATCGGATAATTGGAAAGGATCTTAAAAGACATCGAGTCCAACCCACTAAAGATGGAGTTGATATGCTGCTACAACATGTAGCCTTGCGTTGAAAATGTCTAATGAAAGAGTTGTCATCACTACCTTCCAATTCAGTCTGGTACTGAAACAGAAACTGGAGAGCATGTACCACTGGCTCAGGTGAAATCCCCTTGCAATTTAAACTCGTTGCTTTGGGGCAGCTTTGGGCAACCTGCTGCCCTCCAGATTTTGCTGGGCTACAACTCCCACCTGATTTGGGAGTTGTAGTCCATCAACATGTGGAGGGCACCAGGTTGCCCAAGGCTGCTCTGGAGCAACAGAAAGCAAATTTGCTCCCTCGTCTCTGTGACCTAGAGAGACACACCCCACCCCACCCCCGGGACCAGCTCCAACGCGAAATTCTGGAGAAGCCGGGCTGAAATGAACAGAATTAACAGTCCATCTTAACCTGGAATTTATTAAGTGCTCCCAGAATATGAATCACTTGTAAATAGCATAGTATTAAGAGCCTTTGCAATTTCCAAATGGATGAATAATTGCTGCGGGGGGGGGGGGGAGAGGAGTTAAAATTGCACAGAACCTGTAACATTAAGAAAGGGTGTTGCTATTCCATTAGTCACTGGGGGTTAAAACAGGATGCAAATACATACAGAGACTTGTAAAACTTTGCAATAATGTTGCATACTGTGCTATCAGGCGCTAGGGGGCAAAAAAGGACAGGGCACCTCACATGAATTTTAAATTATCTCTGGCCACGTCAGGGCCACAATCCAACCAAATGAATTATTCTGACTGATCTGCCAGACCAAAGCACTCAAAAATGTGGAGAATCTGGATGATTCATGGTGCCACGTGTACGGAATTAGGTTGTGGAGTGTGGGTTTTTTTGCCCTGACTGTAGACTCTGGAGTTTCGATTTTTTTTAATTTTTATTTTGGTGGTTTATCCACTGTCGGCTCCGAGCAGCGACGACAAGAGGCCTCTCTGCTCGCATTTCCGACAGCCTGCTGACGGCTGGCCTCAAACCAACCAGCGACCTTGAGAAAACGAAGGAGCTGTCGTGTATCAGCACACACTGTGTATCCCTGTGACCTCTTGGGCAGAGCAGAGTAAGCGCTTGGAGGACATTCCAATTAACACTTCTGCTTCTTTAATGTTACCGGCAGAAGATAAAAAGAGGCTGAACTAAAAGCTGTTCTGGAAGGCCTCCAAGGCCCGGCTACTGGGTGAAGTGTAACGGGAGTTAAATAATCTCACGAAGGCAGAGAGTGCTGGACACGGCCTTATCACGTGCCCGAGATGGGGAAATCCAAGGGCGAGGTCATTGGGAATTCAGGGCAGGGGGGGGTTTCCAAGGAATGGGGAGACGAGGGGTGGGAGGCAACCTGCACCCCCAAAAAGTAGGGAGAGCATCAAGGGTTTCTAAGATCTGGAGAGAGCCTCAAAGCCAGTCTCTTGGGGAAGGAAGGAAGGACATGGCACATGGCAATGGAATGAAGCAGCAGCGGTATTTACACAGGACACGGTAACAGCGATACAGGGGGCGAAGGGCTGCCCCAGACCATTCACACAGGCTCCATCTGCAGCTCATCGGTTTCGGCACATTCCAATTCATGGAAGGCGGCATGTGAACCAATAACTACCAACGTGGCACCTGCAGGGGGTGACAGACCAGACAGGGAGAAAGCAAAAAGGTCAGGTTAGTTCTCTTTCCACAGTGATGGGACTCTGACATGCTCTCTGTCTCCGCTGCAGCTCCTAAGGGCACCTTGGGCTTGTGGGGAAGGAGAGAAAGGAGCCGAAGTAGATAGGGAGTCACACAGAGTGGGATGGAAGACCTGGAAGTATTATTATTATTTCTTTGTTTATACCCCACACATAGGGACGCGGGTGGCGCTGTGGGTTAAACCGCAGAGCCTAGGACTTGCCGATCAAAAGGTCGGCAGTTCAAATCCCCGTGATGGGGTGAGCTCCCGTTGCTCGGTCCCTGCTCCTGCCAACCTAGCAGTTCAAAAGCATGAAGTGCAAGTAGATAAACAGGTACCGTTCCAGCGGGAAGGTAAACGGCGTTTCCGTGCGCTGCTCTGGTTTGCCAGAAGCGGCTTAGTCATGCTGGCCACGTGACCCGGAAGCTGTACGCTGGCTCCCTTGGCCAATAAAGCGAGATGAGCGCCGAACCCCAGAGTCGGTCACGGCTGGACCTAATGGTCAGGGGTCCCTTTATCTTTACCCCACACATCTGACTGGGTTGCCACAGCCACTCTGGGCAGCTTCCAACAGAATGCAAAAATACAACAAAACAATGTAATACTACCACCCACCCATTATGCCAGCACTATTCTCATCAATACAGTTTCCTTTTCAAATATTATTCACATAGTAGGCTTAACTCAAATAAGCCTTTCTCCTGTGCAAATGGCACTGAAAATGGCAAAGGTAGCACAGGAACAACATGTGATGCTGTCGGAGAATGGAAATAGTTCGCAGAAGCAGATTTTCTGCAAGGTGGGAATTCTCTTCCCACTGTATAGTTTTGTTTTTTGCAAGAACTGACTCAGGCGGAATGTGGTACGCCAACCTACAGTACTCTATTCCCTTCATATATAATAAATATTATTATTATTATTATTATTATTCATTGCTCTGGTGGTTTAGGTGAGCCCACAGCCCACAGAACTACACTTTCTGACCAGGAAAGTTAACAGGGGCAGATCCCTCCATTTCATTTCTTTTTACTGTCCTCTTGCCTGGAGAACATAAGGGGAATTAGTTTTACACCTTATTAATTAGGTATACACCTCTTTCTCAAGAGAAAACCACAGAGCTCTGCTCCTTTTTCATCCCCATCCTATGATCTGGTCCACAATGCAAAAAAAGGAAAAAGATCAGGGTCACATGCCAGGGCCCCTGAACTAGTGGAAGGCCACAAATAATGGTGTAGCAAGTGAAGCTGAACTGTGCAAGGCTGTGGACTAAATTTGAGCAGGGTTGGGAACAGCAACAGTAAGCCGAAGCCCATGAATATGATCAAAATGCAGACATTGCAAAATATGAGTGTCAGCTGAGAAGCTTGACAAGTGTATTCTGCAACTTGTATGTGCAGGTAATGCACACACCCGGCATCCTGAGAATCTCAGGTTGCACTTCTTAAAAACAAGCTTCCGTTAAGGACTATCACATCTAAGAAGTCAAACAGATCGCTGAACAGATTTCTAGAACAAGGCGTTAGTGCCCTGCAGTAGTGCCTTGCGGCAGCTAGACTGGTAACTGGGAGCGGCCGCCAAGACCATATAACACCAGTCCCGAAAGACTACACTGGCTCCCAGTACATTTCTGAGCACTATTCAAAGTGTTGGTGCTGACCTTTAAAGCCCTAAACGGCCTCGGCCCAGTATACCTGAAGGAGCGTCTCCACCCCCATCGTTCAGTCCGGATACTGAGGACCAGCTCCGAGGGCCTTCTGGCGGTTCCCTCACTGCAAGAAGCCAAGTTACAGGGAACCAGGCAGAGGGCCTTCTTGATGGTGGCGTCTGCCCTGTGGAACGCCCTCCCATCAGATGTCAAGGAAATAAACAACTATCTGACTTTTAGAAGACATCTGTTTTAATGTATTTTTTATCTTTTGCTGGAAGCTGCCCAGAGCGCTGGGGAAAACCCAGCCAGATGGGCGGGGTATAAATAAATTGTTGTTGTTGTTATTTTCTGAAGGCAGCCCTGTTTAGGGAAGTTTTTAATGTTTGAGGTTTTATTGTGCTTTTAATTCTATTGGGAGCTGCCCAGAGCGGCTTGGGGAAACCCAGCCAAATGGGCGGGGTATAAATAATAAATTATTACTAAAATTATTACGCACACCAACTCCGGACTAGCAAAGGCAGAATAAATTATGCAAACTAAGAGTCTATTACGTAATGCAAGCACATTTACCCAAGTTATGCACATCACAGAATTTAGCTCTTCTTCCTGCAGGATTTATGCATTTTAAAGAGAGTACGGGATGCATTGTGACACATGCAGTTATGAGCAGTGCAGGAGGGAAAGCTCTCCTCCCGGGTAACTCCACAGGAACACTTTTTACAACTTGCTGTTTGTGCAAGCTGTGGACTGTCTCCCAGATTTCCAGGAAACAAGAGAAGACACGCACCCCTTCTATTTTATTATCCAGAAATGGAAGGTGGTTTGTGTCTGACAGCTGGAATGTGGCTGTTCACTTACCCAGCACCCAGAAGACAGCAGAGCCGGCCCCTGCCAGCCAGAAGAATGGAAAGGAAACGCCCCCAGCCAGGCCGTATTGGTGGGCTGTGCTGAGCTCCCGCCCTAAAGAAAAAGAGGTTGGGTGAGAATACAGAGGGCAGAAATACCGGGCTCACGCTCTAACTCTCAGGGCCTTTTGAGACAAAGCTGGAAGCCTGTGTAAATCGACCACCGGCCCAACAACAGAGTTTTGCCTGATTACTGCAAATGAACACAAGACGCCAAGCACTCTATGGTCTACTCTAGCTACAAACTACAGGGTTGAAGCCTAGCAAGAAAAGGGCATTCGCCAGTGATCTGCATCATTCTTGTTGATGCACCGCCACCTGGTGGCTACTCTGGGAGCTGCAACCTTCAAGGACGCTTCAAGGCATGACAGAGCTTCAAGGAGTGTCGCCCACGAAAGGAGCCGGAGTGTCCGAATCACATGGCCAAGAACTGCCCCCTCCCTTTTCATGACATGAGCACAGCAGCACTCCTCCTGCTTGAGATTCCCAGCAACCGGTAAAGATCCCTGGAAGATCGCCTTCTCCCCAATAGACCTACCCGAGTCCTATGCTGGGATAGCTCAGTCGGTAGAGACTTAATCTTGGGGTTGTGGGTGATTCCTGTATTGAAGGGGGGTTGGACTGGATGACCCCCCTGGTCCCTTCCAACTCTACAATTCTATGAATCTAACCTGGGAGATCCTTTTCAGAGGCCCTGCTCCAGGTTGTTGTTGTTTAGTCATTTAGTTGTGTCCGACTCTTCGTGACCCCCTGGACCAGAGCACGCCAGGCACTCCTGTCTTCCACTGCCTCCTGCAGTTTGGTCAAACTGATGTTGGTAGCTTTGAGAACACTGTCCAACCATCTCGTCCTCTGTCGTCCCCTTCTCCTTGTGCCCTCCATCTTTCCCAACATCAGGGTCTTTTCCAGGGAGTCTTCTCTTCTCATGAGGTGGCCAAAGTATTGGAGCCTCAGCTTCAGGATCTGTCCTTCCAGTGAGCACTCAGGGCTGATTTCCTTCAGAATGGATAGGTTTGAACTTCTTGCAGTCCATGGGACTCTCAAGAGTCTCCTCCAGCACCATAATTCAAAAGCATCAATTCTTTGGCGATCAGCCTTCTTTATGGTCCAGCTCTCACTTCCATACATCACTACTGGGAAAACCATAGCTTTAACTCTATGGGCCTTTGTTGGCAAGGTGATGCCTCTGCTTTTTAAGATGCTGTCTAGGTTTGTCATTGCTTTTCTCCCAAGAAGCAGGCGTCTTTTAATTTTGTGACTGCTGTCACCATCTGCAGTGATCATGGAGCCCAAGAAAGTTAAATCTCTCACTGCCTTCATTTCTTCCCCTTCTATTTGCCAGGAGGTGAGGGGACCAGTGGCCATGATTTTAGTTTTTTTGAGCTTCAGACCATATTTTGTGCTCTCCTCTTTCACCCGCACTAAAAGGTTCTTTAATTCCTCCTCACTTTCTGCCATCAAGGTGCTAAATGAAGTGAAACAGGTGGCTACCAGAAACAGGGCCTTGCAGTGGTGGCCCCCCAGCTGTGGGAATGTCTACCTTATGGTTATTCTGGCATCAGGTGAAGAGACTTTCATTTCCCAGACTTTTTAGAAATCTGTGTTTTTAGAGATCTGAAACACTGCTTTTATTCTGTCCTATGCTGCAGGTTTTTTACTTTATTTTACAATATTATGTTTTGACTGTATGTCATCGTTTTATGCCGTAAGCCACTCGGAAAACAAGGTTAGAGTGTGGCTTTAGAAGAAAACGGGAAATGTTATGGCTTCAGTGATCATGATGGTTATGTAATCAGCATGCAATCTATTGCACTGGTATGAATTTTGCCTATCACACACAGCTTGTCAATGCCAGCCTCCCTCTACGTACCAAAGACAACAAGTTGTGACTGCTGGGTCTTCAAGTAGATGATGTAACAGGCTCCAAAGAAGACAGCAAGCGCAATCAGGAGCAGGGGAGACGTGATGCTGCCAGGGCAGAGAGAGAAGGCCAGGGGGTTAGAAGCGTCAAGAAAGATCACGGATCATCAGTCCAACCCTCTCCCCAAATCACAGTAATAATCACAAAAGGGTTCCCGGCTTTGGGACATTACACAGTATTCCTCAGCGACCCTTAAGCAGCAAAATTCTGCACAAGAGCTAAAGCCAACCTGCTTGCAGATCCTCCTTGTTATTTGTCTGCTTCTGTGAGCTACTGTTTCATATTGCAGGTGGCAGAACTGAATGTGTAAATGCTCCCTTGAAAAGTGAAATAAACGTTCTCGACTGAATGCTCTCCCCACCAAAAGGAAATCAAGCAAAATGCTAACCTGAAACCTCCTGTTTGACATGCTAACTTTGACCATTTGTCTATCTCTATTTGTATGTCATCAACATACAATCTACTGCTTCAGGGCAAACATGCAACTTCTTTGCTGCTCTTTCCATTCTTTATTCCAATGACACCTCAGTATCATCACAAACAAACAAAAAATTGCTCTGTCAGAAGGGATATTCCCACATCTTGTGCCAAAAGCAGCCTCCCCCTGAGACTAGCTTGTGTGGCTTATCCCAGCTGTGGGACAAAATGCACCTCTGTGCATGCTCAGTGACGCCCTCAAAGTTAAGAGGGTTCCTTCCCACGCCCTCAACATCCCACTCACAGGCAATAGACGATGAGTCCCAGAAAGACAAAGACGTAGTTGCTCTGAAAATATTCCACGTTGCGCACCAGCCGCTTGCAGAGCTCCCCAAAGTTCCGAGGCTTCCCAAAGCGCCGCTGGTCGATGAAGTTGGCCCAGGGCCGGATGGTGGCCCGGCGCTGATCCAGCCACTCCTTGGCGGGTCCTTGGGGCAGGAGAGCTGGGATGTTGATCCTGGGGAGGGAGGGGAGGGGAGGCCAGGAGAACAGGGAGTGAGAAGAGGGGCAAGTCACAAGAGTCACATAATAATAATAATAACGCCCTCTCACCATCTGTCAAGGCAATAAGCAACTATTTTACTTTTAAAAGACAACTGAAGGTGGCCCTGTTTAGAGAAGTTTTTAATGTTTGATGCTGTATTGTTTTTAATATTCGGTTGGAAGCCACCCAGAGTGGCTGGGCAGTGTATAAGTAATAACCATTATTATTATTATTATTATTATTATTCGGTTGGAAGCCACCCAGAGTGGCTGGGCGGTGTATAAGTAATAACCATTATTATTATTATTATTATTATTATTATTCGGTTGGAAGCCACCCAGAAAGGCTGGGCGGTGTATAAGTAATAACTATTATTATTATTGTTGTTGTTGTTGTTGTTGTTATTATTACCCTGCCCATCTGGCTGGGTTTCCCCAGTCACTCTGGGCAGTTTCCAGCAAAATATTAAAATATTAAAATACAATAGACTGTTAAACATTAAAAGCTTCCCCAAACAGGGCTGCCTTCAGATGTCTTCTAAAAGTCTGATAGTTGTTTATTTCCATGGCATCTGAGGGGAGGGCATTCCACAGGACAAGGGGGCCACTACCAAGAAGGCCCTCTGCCTGGTTCCCTGTAACTTGGCTTCTTGCAGCGAGGGAACCACCAGAAGGCCCTCGGCACTGGCCTTCAGAACAATGGGGGTGGAGACGCTCCTTCAGGTATACTGGGCCGAGGCCGTTTAGAGCTTTAAAGGTCAGCAGCAATGCTTTGAATTGTGCTCTGAAACGTACTGGGAGCCAGTGTGGGTCTTTCAGGACCGGTGTTATATGGTCTTGGCGGCCACTCCCATTCACCAGTCTAGCTGCCGCATTCTGGATTAGTTGTAGTTTCCGGGTCACCTTCAAAGGTAGCCCCACATAGAGCGCATTGCAGTAGTCCAAGCAAGAGATAACTAGAGCATGCACCACTCTGGCGAGACAGACTGCGGGTATATAGGGTCTCAGCCCTATCTCAGCCCACATGCCCCCCCCCAAACTCCGAAACAAGAGGCCCAGGACTGAGCCAGCAGCCTTCTTTGCTGGAGCAGGGATGGGAGAACCTGCTCTCAAGACAAGGGCTACATTCCTTTGGAGCCAACTTTCCAAGGAGCCAGATGCAGGCAGTGGGTGTGTCCAAAGGGTGCGTAGCTGCAGCTCGCAATATTCCAATGACATATCAATATATCACCCAGCCCTAATGGGGAGGCCACTGCACACCCTCATGTACAAATGACCCTTACGTACAGCAGAAAACACAAACACAGCCTCCTCTTTGGCACTGCTCAGCTGTTTCCAATTCGGTGGGCAGTAGGAGAGATGGGGAACGTGAGGAAGACTTATCTCTCTGCCCCGCTCAGCTGAGCAGCAGTCACAACAAGCTCATTGGGAAACCGCCACTTCTCCAATGCTTGCCCTGCTCGGCCTACCTCCTGCTTCAGCCATTTCAGAAGGTGCTGCTGCCGTGGTCCTCTTTGGACCACCCCAAGGAGAGGCAAGGCCCAGGAGAGGCAGCAGGGCCTGTCCAAACAACTGGGCAGGATTTGGGCTGTGGGCCAACAGTTCCTTACACCAATCTAAAAACTTTAATGCTCCACCCATTTAAGGGGCTCCCCACCCCCTCCCAGCTCCTTACTTTGTGCCCAACACGGTCCCTGCTGTCTCCATTTCAGTGGCAGGGTTGAAGAGATGCTCAGGTCCTGTTTTGCTTGCCATTGCGCTTCGGTCGATTACAGAGAAGGCAGCGCTACAAAAAGATGGGAGGAGAGGGAGAGAGTCAGGCGTAACACTCAGAAGTTGGTGGGGGAGACAGGTGTGAAGATCAGAGTACTGTCCAGAGAAAGCTAGGAAAGAAGACCATTGCTGGTTTAGGATGTAGAATCTAAGGGGCACTTCACACATTATAAACAGGCAAAATAAAATTTAATAATGCTCCTTTGGCTGCTTTCCAGTCCCCAAGTGTGGAGGCTGATCTTAGGGACATGTTACATGTGTCTGTTGAGAAGACCAGCAATTTCCCATCTGATTTGTTTAAGAATCACATATGAGCATAGGAAGAGACTGCTGGATCAGGCCAATGGCCCATTTAGTCCAGCACCCTGTTCTCACAGTGGCCAACCAGATGTCTGTGGGAAACCTGAAAAGCAGGACCTGAGAACCCGCTGCTCCTGTGGCTTCCGGCAACTGTTACTCAAAAACATTAAGCCTTCAGAAGTTAGCTTTAAACAAATATTTGCTGCCAGAGTGGCAAAGAGTTGACAGTGCAGACGGCCTCTGAGATGATCTCACCCACAATGCCTTGCTCAGAAGAAGGGCACTTTCCTGAAAGTGAGGGGTGGGTGTTTTGGAGAGCCTTCTTTGTGGGGAATGTACTCCAGCGAAAGTATAGAAATGAGGCACAGCATCCTGGACAAAAATACATCTGCTGTTTTGCTACATTCATCTGAACATGGCAGGGTTGCTTGTATTCAAAAGCAAAAAAACCGCCCACAAGCTTTTCTGCAGAGCTAACCCAAATTCTAAAACACTAGCAATTCTGAGTCCTGGATAAAATCATGGAAGTTAACAATATTGCAGGATTTCTTCTCAATTTCTTTAACTTATTCAGCTTCTAGTAGCCACCAAGGGGGTGTGGCATAACAGCATCTATGCAGAGTGTGGAAGTTCTTCCCAGTGACTCCTGGAAATCTTAAAATCAGTAGCCCCTCTGATTTCAGTAATTTGATTAGACAGTGCATGAAGAACATTTATAAAGCCAAAAAAAAAAGAGAGAAAGGTGATATTCTGAGCTTGTGAGGAATTGTGGGATACATACATCATTCCTAATTGGTTATTTCACTTGCATGTAGCCCCTCTAAATCCTGCTCCCCAGTACAAGGAGCGTTAGCCACCGGAATTTTTACAAATCATAGCTGCCCCTTGTACTTTGTTTTCAGCTGGTAACCCAACAATTATCTAGGCACCAAGGTGATGGTTCCAGACATCTTGTTTGCCTTTTTCTGCACCCTTCGTTCTCCCGCGCAAATGCCAAATAAAAGCACTCAGCAGCAGAATCTGACCAGTTTTACTTTTCGGGAGGCAAATTTGCAGTTCTTACTTAGCCAGCAAGTGCCTTATAAAATCCACCCACAGCTCTGTAAACAAATATATCCTGTACAGAGGAGCCAGCTAGCACAAAAAAAGTGCCAAGCAGATCCAGAACAGTAGACTGGTTGGATTAGAAGAGTCACAACAGGAGGGTGATATCAGATATTGTCAGTGATATTACTGACAACATAGTTAAATAACTAATTGGTTAATTATGCTTTTAAGGTACACTGTGTTTAGGGAAGTTTTTAGCGTTTGATGTTTTATCATGTTTTTAATATTCTGTTGGAAGCTGTCCCAGAGTGGCTGGGGAAACCCAGCCAGATGGGCGGGGTATAAATAATAAATTATTATTATGATGATATAATGGTCTCTGGTGTAAAGTGTTGGGGTGGGAAACCTGTTTTCAAAATCTACCAGCAGAGCTGGCCCAAGGCACCTGATATATAAGCACCTAGCTTATGGAATATCTCTTGGAAGATGGAGCAAGCTTGTTCTCTCCTGCTCCAGTTCAATTCAAGTTATAAGAAGGGAGATTACAACAAAACATCGGGAGGAGCTTTCTGACAGTAAGGGCTGTTCTGCCATATGACTGTGATAGGTTCCTTCCAACTCTACAATTCTATGATTCTAGCTTCAATCGCCAGCATCTTCATTCAGGGCTGGGAATGACCCCCGTGCCTGAAAATCCTGGAAAGCAGCTGCCAGCACCGATACTGGCAATAATACTATGCTAGATGGACCCCAATGGTCTGGCTGAACATAAGGCAGTCAGCACTGGATTTAGGGCAGTTCGGGCAGTTCTCCTGCACAGGGTGCAGAGCCAAGAGGAAGCCTAATAATAATAATTTATTATTTATACCCCACCCATCTGGCTAAGTTTCCCCAGCTACTCTATAATAATAATATTATAATAATATAATAATAACAATACCTATATTTATATGGGTAAACATATGGGTAAATAAGAAATATTGGGGAGGGGGAGCGTCAAATTTTGTCCTCGCTCAGGGCGCCATATTACCGAAGTCCGCCTCCTTATTAGCCAAGATGCAAGGTTTAAGGAGAGAAGATAGGAGCAGTGTCCAATTTGGTTTACTACCGGCTCAGGGTGGGCACCTAATCCCCTGAGCACAACTTGATGACGAGGCCTTCCCTCGCTAAAGCCCTGATAGCGCAGGGTGTGTCTCACGCATTTTAGCAGCTTTTGGCTGACTTGCAAGCCGGGCAGGGAAGCTACAGGCTCAGCAAAAAAATTTGCTTAAAGCCCCCTTCCAGGCGCCTCCGCCTGAGAGCGGCCCAGAGGATGCTCTGCGACCAAGACTCCCCCTGCATCCAGGGTTGCCCCTGGCAACAGCCGAACCCCCGCTCACTCACCTGCCTCCTTTGGAATCCGGTCCAGCTCCGCGCAGGAAGCAGAGTGTGGCTGCGTGGCAGGGGGAGGAACGCGCGTTAGCAGGCGGCGGGGAGCATGCTGGGAAATGTAGTCTTCACGTACTTGAAGCTCCCGCTGCGAGTGAGGGCGAAGGAGAGTGCGGAAGTGCCACCTTCCCCGCATGGGCGTAACAAAGCAGCCTTTGCCGCTCGCCCGCCTTGGACTGCAACTCCCATCAGCCCTAGCCAGCATGGCTGCATGCTGAGGCTGATGGGAGTTGTAGTCCAAAATCTCTAAGTGGGACACCGGGGTGGCAAAGACTGCAGTAGAGCGTCTTTTAAGTGTGCGTGGCTGGTTCTTGTTTTCTGGCTGGCGCACCTCTTACCTTTTTCTCATTTGCTAGGGAACCTGTAGGCCTTCTGATAGATTCCTGCATTGCAAGGGGTTGGGCTAGATGGCCATCAGGATCCCTCCAACTCTACAATGCTGTGGTATTGCTGGACTACAACCCCCAGCCTGGCTGGCGCGCGCGCACCCCCCCACCCACCCACCCCCCGCCGGGGTAATAGTGGCTTTCTTGTTTATGCAGTCAACCGGATCTATAAGAATACTGTAGTATCTGATATTTTTGTGCTTTCTGCAGTATAAGTACTGTATTTCATTTTGTCCTTGTTTGTATTACTTTTTTAAAAAAATATAATTTTCATTTATAACAATAATAATTTACAACAATTATTTAACCAAGTTTTAACATTTTCAGTTTTGACTCCCTTCCCCCTCTTTCTGCGGTTCCTTACATTTATTTTCGTCCTTTCCTGCATACTCCAGATTGCCTTAACTTACTCTTTTAATCATCTATTGTCATATATATATCTCTCATATATTTTTATGTTTTGAACTGCCTTATGATCTTCAGATGAAGGACAGTATGCAAATTCAACAACAGCAGCAGCAGCAACATTATATATCTATATCTATATATATAATTGTAGGTTTTCACAATAATCCTACCAATGTCTTGGTCTGTTTACAGTTTGTTTGTAAATATTCAGTAGACCACTTCCATTCCTTTCTAAAAAGTTTATTATCTTGATTTCTTATTCTTCCAGTAACTTTCACCATTTCTGCAAACTCCATTAAGTTTCTGTATCCAATCTTCTTTCTTCGTGACCTCTTCATCCTTCCACTTTGGGGCAAATAACATTCTTGCAGCTATGGTCGCACACATGCATTTGTATTAATTGTTGGTGGATCGAGGATAAAGGACTATATTTTTTTCTTGTTTATCAGACCTATCCTTTGTTTTTAATGGAGTAGTTAATCTTCCCTCAGCTTTGCAAACCTTAACTGTTTATCTGTTATTTTATTTATAGAATATTTTAAACACCTTTTAGGGCACCCTGACCTCACGTTGCGGCTGTAAGACACATGAAAATACAGTGGCGATAAAGAGGTTCTGCTCTTATGCACGTTACCTCGGCCCAGCTGAATGCCGATGGACTTACTTCCATGTATACGAACATAGGATTACGCTGTCTCAGAAGGTAATATAGGATGGTTCAGTTGGGCCTGTTAATTTATAGCATTAAGTTCCTTTGTACTCAGTTGAGATAATCATTTATTTGTTTAGCTCCATCCTTGTTGGTAGTCCTTGCCCTGAGGCGCCTGCGATCACCAGAGGTGAAGCAACAGAGGATAGGGAAGAAACTGGCTGCATGGCTAAGCAGGCACAGAATATGCAATTGTCTGTGTTTCACAAGTGCTTGCACAAGTTCAATCCTCAAAGCTGATCAAAGGATGCTTCCTTCTATCAGGCCAAACTATCTGTTCTTCTGGTTTAGCTCAGTAGGTCTGCTCTTGGAGAGGTCTTTCCCATCACCTTAGCACTAACCCTTTCAACTCAGGCTGTCAAGGATTGAACCTGAGAACTTCTGCCTCTCCCAGAAGTTTCCCTCCATGCCATAAAAAAAGCTTCATGGGCTGATTTCTGTACAGTGGTACCTCAGGTGAAGTACTTAATTCGTTCCGGAGGTCTGTTCTTAACCTGAAACCGTTCTTAACCTGAAGCACCACTTTAGCTAATGGGGCCTCCTGCTGCCGCCATGCTGCCGGAGCACGATTTCTGTTCTCATCCTGGAGCAAAGTTCTTAATCCGAGGTACTATTTCTGGGTTAGCGGAGTCTGTAACCTGAAGCGTATGTAACCTGAAGCTTATATAACCCGAGGTACCACTGTATATGAGTCCTTGATTAGACAGACAGGAGCAGGCCAGGTTGCCTTTTCTTAAGCCCCTGACCACTTGGCACCCCCAAGTCTTCTATTGGGCCAGAGGATCACACTGATTCGGATTTAACCCGTTCTTCCAAAAAACAAAGACAGTCCAGCTCATACAGTTTGAGACAATGATTATTTTATTTTGACACAATTTTCAAGGTGGGATGACCGCAGGGGCTGAACAAAGGAGAGCCGTATCTTTTCCTTTTTCCTTGTGCAAAGACAATAGGTCTTTTGCTATGCAGTTGATAGGCTTCTGGGTTCAGAAGCTGGCCTCCGTCCCTCACTGCCATTGATCCAGCTACTTCGTTCTCCCTGCAGGAGTGAAGAATGTCTGCCAGCTTCCCCTCTGCTTCAGTTCTTGTTTTTCAGCTCTCGGGCGAGTTGACAGAGGCCGCAGAATGGACAGCAGGCCATGACCACCCAGTCCTCACAAATGGAGCCCTGGGTTTCAGAAACAAAGAGGCTGTGTTAAAATGGAAGGTCAGGGGCAAGTGAAGTTGTGTAGCTCCCAAGAGACAAAACTGGCTTGTAACTGAGACAGAGGCTGAAATTCCTAACCATCTAGGGATTCCTTTCAGCCAAACTCAGGCAAATCAGCCTTAGAGCTGGTTCAGCAAAGGCACACCGCCCACACATTGATTATTATAGCACTTTTTAAAAATTGCAAGAGCACTTTACTTTTGAATATGCAATTGTGTTTCCTGTTCTCGTGAGCAAGGTTCATTTTCCCAATGAGTCCCAAAGCAATGATAAAAGTCAATTCAAAAGCAACATCCATCAGGAAAATAAAGGGCACTTCACTTGGGGCATAAGAAAAAACAACTTAGGTGCCAGGCAGGCCTCTCTGGGGAGGCTATTCCAAATACAGGGGGCCACCACAGAAGAGGCCCTCCCTTCCTATTAATCCCTGCCATCAAATACTGCCAAATGACTAGAATAAAATGGCCCAGGGTGTCCCCATGCATATAGTAGCAGCGTAATATGCAGAAGTCAGCAAATAAAGCTTTTAACAAAAAAGAAACACATTGTCACTTGGTCTCTGCGCATCAAGCTGTTGCTAAAAGCCAGACTTCCAATGGTCAGCTGAAAAGTTGGGCAGCCCTAAGGAACTCTAATCATGGTAAGAAAACCAGCAACGGGTAGATGATGATTTACTACTTATACCCAGCCCATCCACCCCTGTTGTGTCTTCCTCCTTGGTAGGTTTCAGGTGCATAACTAGCTTGATAGCTACCAACATATTTTGAGTAAGGATGGGCAAATCTGTCAATTTTGGTTTGTCTCATTTTTTAAACGTTCCCAGTCTTAATTTCTCCACATTTCCACATCAGTTTGCAGGGCTTTTGTTTTTTTAAGTTGCTATGAAACTCATTAGCATTTTGATGCAAATTTCTCTTAATATAGTTTGTATGCAGTTTTGCCTAATTTACACATTTTTTGCAAAGCAATATTCCCATACATAATGCATTTTTGTATGGCCTTTGCAGTAATATACGCATTTCAATGCACACCTTGCCCTAGTATTTGCATTTTTGTTCACATTGCTTGAACTGCGTTGCAACATTCAGAGAAGTGCAAATTTCAAAGGACGGCTGCGTTTTGGTTTGTGCATTGTGTCAGAAAATGCAGATTGGGAGGGTTTGCTTTTAAATGTGAGCTGAATCAGATTCCTCCCCCGTGCCTAATTTCGAACCTATAAAAAGGTATTTATTAAAACAGACTGGGCTTTTCTTTTGGAGCAGAACAGCAACTCCACCCCAACCCCAACCCCGGCCAGCCCATCAGTTTAACTACCACCCCAACCCCTCTCCCCACACCCATCTTTATTTGACTTCCCAGATCTCACCTCAATGTGGAATCTCTCGCGCACACTGGTCCGCAGAGCAATGATAGTACCAGGCAGGTATGGGAGGCAGCAGCACTCACCTGCCTGCTCTGACACACGGCAGGCAAGGATGCACGGAACGAAGGTACCACAGAGACCTGGAGGAAGGGAGACAGAAGCATTCTGCATGTATCCGGAGGAAGGCAAATGATTTCCAGTGAGGGCTCTGGAAACTAAGTCCTATAGGGGATATGGATATGTTTAGCTGGGAGAAAGGAAGGTTAAGGGGAGAGATTATAGTCTGAAGAGGCTGTCATGTAAAAGGTGGAGCAGACTTAAAACTATGGAACTCGCAATTGCAGGAGGTGGTGAAGGCCACCAATTTGGATGACCACCTCCGCTTTCATAGAATCATGCATTACTTTAAGTACTGTATTTTTCTGTGTATAAGACGATATTTCCCCCCAAATTTTTAAAGTTTAAAATTGGGAGTCGTCTTATACACAGAATGTTACAATTAATTGTTTCTTAATTTGGGGCTCAAAAAATAGGGGGCATCTTATACATGGGGACATCTTATACATGGAAAAATACGGTAAATGAATGTTTTGGGTTTTTGGGGCAGGCGGAATGGTCTGGGGGCTAGTTATTCAAAACATGTCTAATTGCCATACCACGCTATCTAGTAGGTTGGGCCAGTTGAATCCAGAGAATTAAAAAGCTGTTTGGTGGAGCTAGCGAGATAAAAATAAAAAACACCCACTTGGTGGCAGCAGTGAGGTTAAGGAGGAGGAGGGGTTAGCTAAGCTCATGGGTAGGCAAACTAAGGCCCGGGGGCCGGATGCGGCCCAATCGCCTTCTAAATCTGGCCTGTGGACGGTCCGGTCATCAGCATGTTTTTACATGAGTAGAATGTGTCCTTTTATTTAAAATGCATCTCTGGGTTATTTGTGGGGCATAGGAATTTGTTAATTTCTTTTTTTCCAAAATATAGTCCGGCCCCCCACAAGGTCTGAGGGACAGTGGACTGGGCCCCTGCTGAAAAAGTATGCTGACCCCTGGCTAAGTTGGTTTGCTTGCCTCCCTTTCTTTGCACAGTGCAAGTCGCACTTGCATCCTACGCTGTCACACTCCAGTTGCAGTCTGTCACTCTGACCACTCCACATCACTGTCTCCCAATGCCTAAGCTTCCTGCATAAGCCTAATGCAGAAGATTCCTTCCATCGGCCTGTTTCTTCCTAATGCTTCACCTCATTCTTCCTAATTACTTCTTCCCCTGTATTTTCGTTTTCTCCCCAGTGCCGCTCGCCATTACATTTAGATGCTGAATATGATGGCAGGGCCCGTGCTATTCCTAATTCCTGCATTGCCCCAAGCAGTTTAAGTAACAATATAAAAAAGGCACACACTGCCCATGAGGGAGGTGCCATCTGTTTTGAAGGAACACCAAGTTTCATGGACATAGAAAAATCCTTGGGGGCGAGAGGGGGCCAAAAAACCCAACAACAACTCAGTGCAGACTGAACATGCTCAGTGGGAACAGAATGCTTTTTGACTAGTGGGCGGGGAACAGACCTAGGGAGAAATGGGTAATGGAGTATCCAGGGAAAGGGCATGCCTGGCTGGGACCCTGTACAAGATCACTCCACGCTGTAACGGTTTGCTGCAAGTGCCGGTAATAAAAATAGCCTCACGTATTAGCAACAACCGATCCCTCGCCCCTTCTAGGTTGGCTAACTTTTGATTTCAAGAATCTTGCTCTTTCCAGGGAAGGCAGGCAGGGAAAGGGCAGCCCCGTGGATCGATCAGTGGCAAAATCTTGAGTTTCCTGGCTCTTCCGATTGCCTGACAGACAGCTCATTAGCCCTCCTTCCTTCTTCTCATGTACAGCCTACCACTTGAGTGGCAGAAAGGAACTGCTAGCCGCCAACACAAACCCCAATTACTCACAGATGCCCATATCGGAGCAGCAGTCACACAGGTCTGTATTCCAGGCCCCTTGGTTGCTCAAAGTGTAGCTGGCGCCAACAGCTTGTGGCTGGGCATCGATGATGAACTCCGTCTGATAGGCCATGTCAGCTCCTGGAAAGTGGAGAGGAGAGGCAGGAGAGCTCCTGTTACTCCCCACCATCAGACCCAGGCCCCAGCTGTGGGATTTAATGTGCTTTGGGTAATGGTGAGCTCTTGGAACCAACCCACTCACAGACCCTCCGGGTGTCCCCATTTTCCAGGGACAGTCCCGGATTTACAGAAGCAGTCCTGGTTTATGATTTGATCCTGAAATGTCCCGCTTTTCTTTAAAGGTAAAGGTACCCCTGACCATTAGGTCCAGTCGCGGACGACTCTGGGGTTGCGGCACTCATCTCGCTCTATAGGCCAAGGGAGCTGGCGTTTGTCCGCAGACGGCTTCCGGGTCATGTGGCCAGCGTGACTAAGCCGCTTCTGGTGAACCAAAGCAGCGCACAGAAACACCGTTTACCTTCCTGCCAGAATGGTACCTATTTATCTACTTGCACTTGACATGCTTTCGAACTGCTGGGTGGGCAGCAGCTGGGACCGAACAACGGGAGCTCACTCCGTCGCGGGGATTTGAACCACCAACCTTCTGATCGGTAAGTCCTAGGCTCTGTGGTTTAACCCACAGCACCACCCGTGTCCCTATCGCCTTTCTTTAGGACGTCCCTATTTTCATTAGAGAGGGTATGGAGCTATGTGACCCCCGAGCCAAGGAGATAAGTAATTATACAACCTTTAGAAGACATGTGAAGGCAACCTTGTACAGTATGGGGAAGTTTTTAAATGTTTAATGCTTTATTATGTTTGTTGGAAGCTGTCCAGAGTGGCTGGGGCAACCATGTCAGAGGGACAGGGTATAACTAATAAAATTATCATTATTGTTATGGAACAAGACGTCCCTATTGTTGGAGGGTATGCACTCACCAATCCTGGCCTGTATTTTGAGGCTTTTGGCCAGCCCCCTCCCTTTATCTGCATTTAATTATAAACCATAGTTAAGCTTAATTGTGGTTGAAGTGTGAGTGTGCAGTCTGCTGGTCCATGGCGGCGGGGATAATGGCGGTTTCACTCCTTCCCTTCTGCTAACTGCACTGCGTGGAGCTAAGCCATGGTTTGGTTTAGGATTACATGCAAACCCTGGCTCATGGTTTGTTTCCCCCCAAACCATGAGCAGTAGGCCAAGAACAAACCATGGTTGTTATGTACTGAAGTTCTCACCCTGGGCCAGCAGGGGGATACTGTAGATAGTTATGCAAATGAAGGATCGAAAGTGACATTCAGTGATTGGATAGTTTTAGAAAGTTGTTACAGTAACGTTGTACTGGAGCTCTATATAAGCAGGCTGACTGAACCCTTCAGTTCAGTTTTCTTCTGGCCTCTGAATAAACAAGAGCTGTTTGAAGAATCGCTGTGTCGTCTGATATGTTCACCCACAACTTAACAATGGTTACAACTTGTGTTTTGCTTAAAGTGAGACATAAATCCCAAACCTGGGGTTCTGATGTAATACTAAGCTAAACCATCGCTTAGCACCTGGCAGGGGGAAGAATGAAGCAGCTACAGTGTCTGCTGTTTCCTAGCCTTTAAATGATAGTTCAACTTAACCATGGCTTTCAAATGACATGCAAACCAGGCACCGCAGCTGCGTACACACTCCTGTTTACTCTGCATCCAGTTGGCTCCCACTCCCACCACTTGGAAAGTGGTGTAAAATCATGTCGTTCCTCAGGAAATGCTGCCTTTTGATGCACCCCCCACCACCAAACCACCTCGAATCCAAATTGAGAAAAAGTACGACCTAGCTGTGTTTTAAGCTGGTATTGTGTACGCAGGCTGTCTTGCTGCACAGCTCCTGCTCATTTTTGTGGGATTTGGTCAAAGGGACCCTTGCCCTGTGGATTGTGGTGCCTCGGTTCTATCCTGCTGCTATCTTTAATGGCCCTCAAAACAACTCCCTTTGCCTCATGGCATCTTGCTAGGGTGGAGGAAGATGGAGACCTGTTGGCATGGCAACAAGGTAGACTCGTGCTCAGATAGCCGATCTCTTGCGGAGATCCTTGTATGACCTCCTCGGGCTGTGTTCCTACAACCGCATCTGCTCAAACAGGCCCCAAACACCCGTTTTTTGCTCTTGTTTGAAGCCACGTTGAGATGGTCTTAGCTTTTCGGCTCTCCTTGAGGGTTGCACGGAGACATTTTAGGCAGAAATCTAGCTTGTTCCCAGACAATCTGAGTGAGCATTTTGGGCAAGGCCCCAAATACAAAGTGGAAGAACTATTTCCAAACAATACAGGAAACGCCTTGAGAGGACAAGAAGCTCACACCCTCATAGCAAATATATATACTCTGCGAAAGAATCTCTCTCACTCTCTATCTTTGCTGAAGTCTGTGAAAGGAAGAGATTGAGGATGAGGAAATTGGTCAGGGTCAACAGAGGATGCCTTCAGATTTTCACACAGAACCGCTGAGTACACACCATATATTTAAAACATATTTTTATCCCCCAAAGAATCCTTCTAAACCACTCTGAAAATTATAGCTCTATGAGTGGAAGGTGTGTGTGTGTGTGTGTGTGTGTGTGTGTGTCCCCTAACAACTCTTAGCAAACTACAGTTTCCAGGAGTCTTTTGGAGTTGTTGATTGTTTAAAGGGATATGAAAGTGTTTTAAATGTATGGTGCGGATGGGCCCTCTGAGTTAATTTGTAAGAAAAGCCACTAACAAATCCAATAAATAATAATAAATATGGGCTGCTTGCAAATAAACCAAAAGACTATGGCCACATTCAACCATCTATTTAAAGCACTATGATGCCACTCTAAACAGTCATGGCGTCACCCAAAGTATTCTGGGAGCTGTAATTTGCTAAGCGTGCCGTTGGGTGAGACCCATTCCCCTCACAGAGCTACAATTTTCAGGTTGGATTAACAATTAATCCCTTTTCACAGGGAACTCTGATAGTTGTTGCTCTGTGAGAGGAATAGGGGTCTCCTCAAAATTCTCAGCACCTTTAACGCATTAAAGCTCCCAGAATTCTTTGGGGGGGAGCCATGTTTGTTTAAAGAAGCACCATAGTGCTTTCAATGCTGGGTATGAATGTGGCCATGACTCCAATTGTTATGTACTGAAGTTCTCACCCTGGGCCAGCAGGGGGATACTGTGGATAGTTCAGGTCCACATATGCAAATAAGGGATCGAAAGTGACTTTCAGTGATTGGATAGTTGCAGAAAGTTGTTACAGTTACGTTGTACTGGAGCTCTATATAAGCAGGCTGGCTGAACCCTTCAGTTCAGTTCTGTTCCAGCTTACAAATAAAGAGCTGCTTTGAAGAATCGCCGTGTCGTCTGATATGTCTACCCACTATTTAACACCAATGATCTTGCCTACAGATCTTGCCTCCTTGGTAGTTCTAGCCCTGGGGAACATGTTACGCTGTCAGATAACGTGTGGTTTATCTGAAATGAAAAGGACCAATGGCACTAGAGGAAATTTAAGGGTGGAACTATAGTGTGTACAATCCAGCCATTATCAGGAGTTTCTGTCCACGCAATTTTGATAAAAGAACGGAACTTCCCTTTCATGAGAGCCGGATCGGCTTTGTTTGGGACTGGGCCCAGAACAAGAAAATTATGTGGGAGTTGTGGATATAATAGTAATATACCCAACAGGACTGGCACGGAACACCATTTTTAATCTGCACGTAAGTCAGCAGTTTATACAGCAACGCTTAGGGCATCTCTTCAAGTTACCTTTCTAAAAGAAAGTGTTGGCTGGTGTCCCAAGCAAGGAAATGTGTCTAAATTATTTACCGTCACCAGAGTTTGCCCTGGCACAAAGGATATACTCAGGCCTGGGGTACATTTTTTTGTTTTTGTTTTCTGTTAAGGACAAAGCCTGTGTTAGTTTCATCCCACAACTGACACCTTCCGAGAATTGCCAAAAAGCATATCCGTTTATATTTGCCAGATGTTTTTGTATTTTAAACAAGGTTGCCAAATTTTGAGCAGGGTCTGGATGCAGCCATGCCTTTGACAGAGAGGTTTTATCACATTTAACTCCATGCTATTAAAAGCTACGGTTGCTGATCTCTACATGTCAAACTTCTGTTAAAAGGATAGTGGCGTTTCTGGCTGGACTTTTTTTTATATTATTATTATTGCTCTGCTGGTAACCTCATTTTAAGAGATGTGGATTCATGAAGATGTATCTCCTTAGAGGAGGAAAAACCTCAGGCCACAATAAACTAGTTAGCCTCCAAGGTGCCACCGGATTTTATGGGAGAGAAAGTCCTGTTGAAATCAATGAGAATTAAGCACTTAACTGTGCTCAACTGCCACTGAAATCAATGAGCTTAAAAGTCCAATCCTAAAAACATTTACTTGAAAGTAAATCCCATTGATTTCAATGCAGCTTACTTCAAAGTATCTGTGCTTCAGCTCTCAATTGGGTTTAGATTTCTTGGGACTGTAGTGCAGTTCCTGACTTCTGTATGGTACAGGCAGACATGAATGTATGTGCTCCTGGCATTTCTCTTTCAGGGGCTAGTCTACACGACATTCATTTTATTTTTTAAAACACAGCTTCTACTGCATAGTTTTAGCATGTATAGTGCTTTACAATCCCCCCCCAGCCGTTATTTTTTTGCAATCAGGGCCAGATTTAGGTTTGATGAGGCCCTAAGCTACTGACAGTAATAGCTTTATATGTCCAGCTGTCCTTTGTCAACAACAAATTGTCACTGCTTTTTTGTGTTGAATATATGCTATATGGTAATTTATGGACCTAATAGGTATCTAAAGCCATTTGTACATGCAGAATGTAGGCATCCTATATATAGAAATGAGCAAACCAGTGATATTTTAGGGAGCAGGCTAGCAGGTGTGGCCCGTTACATCATAGGCGCCTAACACAACACAACACAAAACAAAACAACACTGTTGCTGTATGTAGGTTTTATTTCATTTGTTTTTTATCTTATATTTTGGAAATGTACATCCAGTTTTTTTCCTTTAAATTTTTTTTTGGGCCCCCAAGAGAGTGGGGCCCTAAGCTATAGGGCTTGTTTAGCTTATACATAAATCTGGCACTGTTTGCAACTGTGTCAAGAAAGCTACACACCCCCTTCTGCAGATACCGAAAACTGAGGGGTTGTGCAAGGCACACCCAGTGATTCATTGGGTGGGTTACTAGCTTCACAAAGAAATTAAAGCAGTGACCTTTTCCCTCCTGGCATGCACTGGCATATTTTGCCTCCAGAGTTTGTGTGCCAGGCAACCATTAACTGCATAGGACCAGGGCCGGAAAAAGAGGTGGCAAACCTTTTCAATGGCTCAGCTGGGATTCAAACCCAGTTTTCAAGGAGTTCAGCCACTGCACCCACCTTGGGGTGTTGTCCAGTATCCTTTTGTGTCTCACTGCACCCAGTGCAGCTGGGTGGCTGTTTATCCATCATTTAAAACCAGTGTTTCTCAACTGGGAGTCATATGGCCCCCTAGGGGCGCCCAGGATATTCCAAGGGGGAAACAGGTGAAAATCTTGTAAATGGAGGGTACACGGCACGAGTCTAGGGGGCTACAGAGGGACGTGAGAAGTGAAGAAAAGAGAGAAGTGACCAAGAATCGAAAAGAAAACAGAATATCTTAAAAGTTTCCACAGCTTTGGGATAAAGTGAATTTGTTTTTCATGGCATTTCCTACTTCGTATTTGGTAGAATCAGGTTTCAGTTGTGTGAATTATTTACTCAGTCTAACACGGAATCACCTTAACATCATGGACAGAGGTGCTCTTTAGTTATCCCTCTTTGGTTATGCCGTACTTTTCCGTGTATAAGACTATGTTTCCTTCTTTAAAAATCATGCTAAAAAGTGGGGGTCATCTTATGCATGGGTAGTGTATAGGGTGGACGGTTGATTGGTTGCTGCCAAGGCTGTCAGTGGCTATTTGTGTGTTATTGGCTGTTGTGTCAATGGCTGATGTTGATTGGCTGATGCTCTGGCGGTTGGGCAGGTGATTGGCAGCTTCTGCTGGCGATGGGAGGCAGATTTAGTGACGTGTGTCAGCAATCCCCCCTAAAAAAGCTCAACAACCCTGGGTAATCCTCTGCAAAAAAGCTCAACCACTCTGTGCCATCTCCCCCCAATTTCTTAAATTTGAGTCCCCCAAAATAGGGGGTGTTTTATAAATGGGGGTGTCTTATAGACGGAAAAGTACGGTATATATATAAAACTTGTTTCTGGTCACCAAGCACAAGGGTCCCACTGATTTTTATGCAGTTGTATTTTGTGTAAATTATAAAAAATATATAAATAAAACATGTTCTATCTACAAACAAAACATTGAACTAGCTACCTTTCTACTGGTAGGACAGAGGGTTCACAGGAAGGAAACGAGGTCGGAAGGGGGCCACAGTTGGGAAAAGGTTGAGAAACTCTGCTTTAAACAAAGGACAAAGCGGGCTGCAGATTTGCTTAAATTTTGCATATCCTAATATATATGGATAAATGTAGCTGTAGAAATGGCTCCTCTAATTTAAGCAAATACAATGCATCTCTGACGCCCCTGTCTTTCTTCTTTACAGAGGTGGATTCAAGGTACCTGATAGATGTTTTAAGAGAGCTCTGGGGTCTAAATGCCATCAGGAAGGAGACTGATTTGCAAAGTGGCCTTTACTAGGCAAAAAGAAGTGTGTGCTGGGGCAAAGTGTCCCAAAAGGTGTGCCATCATGTGAGGCCTAACGGTGCTTCCCAGACAGCCCACCTGAGTCACATTACATCTTTCCACGAAGAAGATAACCTGAAGTCACTTCTGCAGGTGACTGGTCTCTGCCTAAATAGCCTGAGATAGCCATGGGACTCCAGGAAACCCGCAAAACATTCCTAGGTCTTCCACCCTTACTGGAGCTGCTCTTTGGATTAACAACACAGGTGTGACTTTGGCTTGTCAGAGGAGCATTTTTCCTACTATTGCTTAGCTCTCAGCCTGCTATTTATTTATTTCTGTTCTTTTTTTCTATCTAAACCTTTTCCCACGGACTGCAAGAAAATCAAACCTCTCCATTCTGAAGGAAATCAGCCCTGAGTGCTCACTGGAAGGACAGATCCTGAAGCTGAGGCTCCAATACTTTGGCCACCTCATGAGAAGAGAAGACTCCCTGGAAAAAACCCTGATGTTGGGAAAGATGGAGGGCACAAGGAGAAGGGGACAACAGAGGACGAGATGGCTGGACAGTGTTCTCGAAGCTACCAGCATGAGTTTGACCAAACTGCGTGAGGCAGTGGAAGACAGGAGTGCCTGTTGTGCTCTGGTCCATGGGGTCACGAAGAGTCAGACATGACTAAACGACTAAACAACAACAAAACCTTTTCCCGAGCAGTCTTTTGGGGCTTGCAAGAACAGCTTCCTCCAAGGAAATAAGTTTGTTCTTATCTGCGGTTTCTTCAAGGAAGCCAGGAACAAAGATTCCTGCACTGCAGGGAGATGGACTAAATGACCCTCAGGATCCCTTCCAATACTATAATTCTGTGATCTCGCCATAGTGGGGAAGACTAGCCATTTCTTTGATTGGGTGTCAGTCTGTTGATGAGCAACAAAATTAAGATGTGATCTGGGCAGTTCTTCAGATAGAGGACTCCTTCATGTAAGAGGCATGGCTAATCTAAATGCAATTCCACTGCTCTTTACCAGGCAATCCTGATCTCACCACTATTAATCCACTTTATGATACCTGAATCAGTTCCCACCCAGTTTTTCCAAGTGTCTTGAACTACAGCTCCCATCACTCCCAGCCGGCCCAGCTGAAGGTTGATCTACATGTTCAGACTACACCAGGCACCTCTCAGTAGTCCCTTTATGTTCCCTTCCTCAGGCACAGCAAACAACTGAGCAATGCTTGACCAACAGGAACATTGTCCTTCCATCCATACTGAAATGCACACATCTCCCCAATATTCGCTTGGCTCAGACATTTTGCAGAAAACAACAGGAGAGACCTATTGGGTTGTGATCCACCTAGCAACTGCAGACAACAGGCAAGGAAGTGGGGTTGTGGTTCCCAAATTGCATCCAGAATCAATCTCCAGAATCACCTTCCTTGGAACGTTCCCATGGCAGCTTAGCTTCCTCGGAAGATAGCTTGCTCACTGCTTGGACATTTCTCCTGCAATATGTTCCAGGGGTCTACAACTTTCATGCGATGTGGCAGTGATGCTCACTTAGCCAGCAGTCTGCATGCACCAAGTATGTGCCCTAAACCTACCCCTGCAACATACAAGGGTTACCTCACAAGCCACACAGCACATATCAATGTGGAATCACAGAACTGTAGCATTTGGAAGGGACCCATGAAGGTCCTCTAGTCCAGCCCCCTTCAGTGCAGGAATATTTCCCCCCAATGTGGGGCTTGAACCCACAACCCTGAGAGTCTCAAGCTCTACCGACTGAGCTATCCCAGCACTTCCCTCTTAAAGTAGAAAGTCAGAAAATGACTAGACTAGGAAAAGGGCATGTATGCATTTTCTGTGTGCTTGGAAGCACATATAAGAAGTCTGAAGGGCAGCACAGAACAGTTTAATGCAGACCCCCCCCAAAAAAGCCATGCATTTGTCATTTAGGTCGCTAGCCTCCCCCCCTCCCACCCCAAACACCAGTCCGTCATGAATGGAAAGTTTGCTAATATTTCTGTGAAAGCTTTCCTTGCTCACCTGGTTTTTCCCCCCTGGAACTTCAGGTTCTGTGTTGACCAGATGACTTTGGGTAAAGAAACAAGTTGGGTGGGGTTCTGTTGGCGCCTCTTATATATATATGTACTAGGTTGGAAGGGCGGGGAGTGGGGGGAGTAGCAATTTGCTGTGGGGAAGGAGCAGATAAGGGAGAAAACAGCAGCCTGCCTTGGAGCAAGTTATTTAAGGTGGAGGAGGGGACCTGGAAATTGGGACATCTGGGAGGTCGGATAAAGTAAGTGGGTGTGCTTTGGGAAATAACTGTTACATACAACTTCACACTGGAAAGGGCTTTGGGTATCATTTTCAATAGCGGGAAGAAAGTGAGAAAGCTGGAATCTCCCCCCAAATGTAGCGTAACAGGAGACCAACCTGAGAAGCACCAGGTTGCAAACCGTCCTGTATGTTAAAGCCCTTCCACCTTTAGTTCATCAAACTGGGCCTGCTAGCCCAATTTAAAAAAATAAAAATAACCAGGGAGTTCCTGATCACTTCCATTCACATCCCTTCCCTCTGAGTTGAGTCAACTAGCTAGTGTTAAGGATGAAAATTCCAGGGTGAGAGACTACTCAAGGCCCAGCTCATCGGGGTGCAAGTCTCCCGCAGGTCTATGCAGTCAGTAAAAGAAGGAGGTTCCAGCCAAGTAAAGGTAAAGGTAAAGGTAACCCCTGACCATTAGGTCCAGTCGTGGCCGACTCTGGGGTTGCGGCGCTCATCTCGCTTTATTGGCCAAGGGAGCCGGCGTACAGCTTCTGGGTCATGTGGCCAGCGTGACTAAGCCACTTCTGGTGAACCAGAGCAGCGCATGGAAACGCCGTTTACCTTCCCACCCAGCGGTACTTATTTATCTACTTGCACTTTGACATTCTTTCAAACTGCTAGGTGGGCAGGAGCAGGAACCAAGCAACGGGAGCTCACCCCGTCACGGGGATTCGAACCGCCGACCTTCTGATCGGCAAGTCCTAGGCTCTGTGGTTTAACCCACAGTGCCACCCGCATTCCTGTTTAAAGATGTGCCCCCGCAATGTCATTTCCATAACACTAGCTTGTTTCAGATCCTGTTTTAAAATCATCAAAACTTATTCTTAGGACGGAAGCACCTCTTCTTGCATCAGACTGTGAATCCTGGCATGTCAGGGGTGGAACTGTATCTTAGCATTGGACCACGATGCCCAGTTCCTGAGAGCCAGTGTGGTGTAGTGGTTAAGAGCGGTAGTCTCGTAATCTGGGGAACCGCTCCTCCACATGCAGCTGCTGGGTGACCTTGGGCCAGTCACACTTCTCTGAAGTCTCTCAGCCCCACTCACCTCACAGAGTGTTTGTTGTGGGGGAGGAAGGGAAAGGAGAATGTTAGCCGCTTTGAGACTCCTGAAGGGGAGTGAAAGGCGGGATATCAAATCCAAACTCTTCTTCTTCTTCCACCCTCCAGGAAGTGTGGAAAAGACTCCTCTCTGAAATTCAGGCCACCAGTGTTTCTGAAACTCGGGTCCCCAGCCATTGTTGGACCACAACTTCCATCATCCCCAGCTAACAAGACCAGTGGTCAAGGGTGATGGGAGTTGTAGTCATAGAAACATAGAATTGCAGAGTTGGAAGGGACCCCATCTAAGCCCCTGCAGGGATCATTTGCCCAACAACAGCTGGTGAGCCAAGTTTGAAAAACACTGGTAGAGCAAGGATGGAGAACCCTTGCCCTCAGGTGTGGCTGGGCAGGTAGGGGTGGGGCTTTCTGACCAGGCCTAGGCATTGAAGGTTATCAAGTCCTCACCATCTGTTTATGTTTCAGTGACTAATCTAACAAGCATGGCTATAGTCTGGAAAATGAATAAATAACATGCCCTACTTTTCCGTGTATAAGACTAAGGTTTTTTATTTAAAAATTACAGTGGTACCTCAGGTTAAGTACTTAATTCGTTCCGGAGGTCCATACTTAACCTGAAACTGTTCTTAACCTGAAGCACCACTTTAGCTAATGGGGCCTGCTGCTGCCGCCACGCCACCGGAGCACGATTTCTGTTCTCATCCTGAAGCAAAGTTCTTAACCTGAAGCACTGTTTCTGGGTTAGTGGAGTTTGTAACCTGAAGCGTATGTAACCTGAGGTACCACTGTATGTCAAAAATTGGGGGTCATCTTATACAGTGGTAACTTGAGTTACAAACACCTCAGGTTACAAATGCCTCAGGTTACAAACTCCGCTAACCTGGAACGAGTAACCTTGAGTTGAGAACTTTGCCCCAGGATGAGAATAGAAACCATGTGCCGGCAGCGCAGCAGCAGCAAGACACCCCATTAGCTATTGTGCGTGTTATTGGTGGCTGTGGCAAGGGCTGTTGTTGATTGGCTGTCGCTGTGGCAATTGGAAGGGTGATTGGCAGCTTCTGTTGGGCGAGGGGACAGACGATAGCTGGCTTTTGCAACGCATGCGTAGGTCAGGCGGGTGAGCAAATTTCTGCAATTCCCCCTAAAAAAAGCGTAACAATTCTGGGCCACCCCCCTCCAAAAAAAAGCTCAACAACTCTGGACAATCTCCCCTCATTTTCTTAATTCAGAGTCGCCAGAAATAGGGGGCGTCTTATACATGGGAGCGTGTTATACACAGAAAAATACAGTAGTTCTTAGTTTTCCCCTTTCGCACAACTCTCCCTTCTCACATTTCTCCCCCTGCCATGAAATCATTTTGGTTTAAGTTTCCAATGTTAAATACCCTTCAAGCACCCCTTTCTCTTTCCTTTATTTTAAAAGTGCATTTTTATTTTACAAACCTGCAGAACCCTAGAACCCTTGTTTGCTCTCATCTCCCCATGGATTCCTGTGTTGCACCTATGTGAATGTTTCCTAGGAAAGTAATACGCTGGCAAAGTATAGCAGCCTGGTATTTGGTGCCAATAAAATTGCCTTGGCAGAAATTGGAATGAGCTTGTCTAAATCCTGTCCTAAAACACTCCGGTTCACTCATTATCAAAGGGATGTCACATGTAGCTGGCACCCACTTTTACCTCCTCCTTAAAACATGTGATTTCAGCCTAGGCCTGTGTACACACCTAGGCTGGATCTACACAGATATAAAAAACACTATGAAAAACCCGCTATAAAAATATATGTGCAATTTGCCATTGAGCTCTACAGCCCCATCTTGTTTCACATTTTTATAGCACACTTATAACATCATAATTGCAGTTGTGTAGCTGAGTCCCTACATTTAAAGCATGTGAATGCCCTCCTCCAGCAAGAATCCTAGGAGGTGCAGTTTAGAATCATAGAATCATAGAATCATAGAGTTGGAAGAGACCACAAGGGCCATCGAGTCCAACCCCCTGCCAAGCAGGAAACACCATCAGAGCACTCCTGACATATGGTTGTCAAGCCTCTGCTTAAAGACCTCCAAAGAAGGAGACTCCACCACACTCCTTGGCAGCAAATTCCACTGTCGAACAGCTCTTACTGTCAGGAAGTTCTTCCTAATGTTTAGGTGGAATCTTCTTTCTTGTAGTTTGGATCCATTGCTCCGTGTCCGCTTCTCTGGAGCAGCAGAAAACAACCTTTCTCCCTCCTCTATGTGACATCCTTTATATATTTGAACATGGCTATCATATCACCCCTTAACCTCCTCTTCTCCAGGCTAAACATGCCCAGCTCCCTTAGCCGTTCCTCATAAGGCATCGTTTCCAGGCCTTTGACCATTTTGGTTGCCCTCCTCTGGACATGTTCCAGTTTGTCAGTGTCCTTCTTGAACTGTGGTGCCCAGAACTGGACACAGTACTCCAGGTGAGGTCTGACCAGAGCAGAATACAGTGGCCCTATTACTTCCTTTGATCTAGATGCTATACTCCTATTGATGCAGCCCAGAATTGCATTGGCTTTTTTAGCTGCCACGTCACACTGTTGGCTCATGTCAAGTTTGTGGTCAACCAAGACTCCTAGATCCTTTTCACATGTACTGCTCTCAAGCCAGGTGTCACCCATCTTGTATTTGTGCCTCTCATTTTTTTTGCCAAAGTGCAATACTTTACATTTCTCCCTGTTAAAATTCATCTTGTTTGTTTTGGCCCAGTTCTCTAATCTGTCAAGGTCGTTTTGAAGTGTGATCCTGTCCTCTGGGGTGTTAGCCACCCCTCCCAGTTTGGTGTCATCTGCAAATTTGATCAGGATGCCCTTGAGTCCATCATCCAAGTCGTTGATAAAGATGTTGAATAGGACCGGGCCCAAGACAGAACCCTGTGGCACCCCACTAGTCACTCTTCTCCAGGATGAAGAGGAACCATTGACGAGCACCCTTTGGGTTCGGTCAGTCAGCCAGTTACAAATCCACTGAGTGGTAGCATAGTCAAGACCGCATTTTACCAGCTTCTTTACAAGAATATCATGGGGCACCTTGTCAAATGCCTTGCTGAAATCAAGGTAGGCTACATCCACTGCGTTCCCTTCATCTACCAGGCTTGTAATTCTGTCAAAAACGAGATCAGGTTAGTCTGACATGACTTATTTTTCAGAAATCCATGCTGACTATTGGTGATCACAGCATTCCTTTCTAGGTGCTCACAGACTGTTTGCTTAATGATCTGCTCCAGAATCTTCCCTGGTATTGATGTCAGACTGACTGGGCGGTAATTATTTGGGTCCTCTCTTTTCCCCTTTTTGAAAATAGGGACAACATTTGCCCTCCTCCAGTCTGCCGGGACTTCGCCTGTTCTCCAGGAATTCTCAAAGATGACTGCCAGTCGTTCTGAGATCACATCTGCCAGTTCTTTTATTACTCTTGGATGCAGTTCATCTGGCCCTGGAGACTTGAATACATCTAAACTAGCCAAGTATTCTTGTACTATCTCCTTAGTTATTCTGGGCTGTGTTTCCTTTGCTGAATTATTTGCTCCAAATTCTTCAGGTCGGGCATTGTTTTCTTTATCAGAGAAGACTGAGGCAAAGAAGGCATTGAGGAGTTCAGCCCTTTCTGTGTCCCCTGTTTGCATTTCACCATCTTCTCCTCTGAGTGACCCCACTGTTTCTTTGTTCTTCCTTTTGCTACGAACATACCCATAAAAGCCTTTTTTTGTTGCTTTTAACCTCT